TCTCCACTCTGTCACAAAAATGTGTTTTTGGATTAGCAAGACTGTGTTTTGAGAAAGCGAAGAAACGAACATTATATTGAAGAACAGAAAGCATGATTCTGAAATTAAGCGGTCACTGCCTTTTCAAACTTGGGCTTGTATTGATGAAGTATGTAATGCTGAATGGTTTATAATTAACAAGTGCGAGATGTCTCCTTCATGTGCTTATTCATTTTATTTTGTTAAATTCTTCGTCAGGATTCTTCATTTCATTTGGGAGATCGTGATCGAAAACTTCACCAATGCCGTAAAAACAAACTCGGGGGTAAGCATACATACGTTGTGTGTTTCTTTTTCATGTGTGGTTTTATAACCCAGTCTTAAACTAACAGATGCATTTTTTTCATAGAAAACTGCAGCGTTTTACCAAAGACAGTATGAGGCTCTTGAGGTAAAGCGCGGTATGGGGACTTGAATCATTTAGTTTTTTAATACGCACTTAAAATAAGTGGTTAAATAAGTAACAGAATGGTATAAAGCCGTGGTAATTTGTTTCTGTACCAAGAAAAGCTTATTCCATGCTTGCCAAGGTTAAGAACAGTAAGAAGGCTACAGAATTTCGTTAGATATGTTATAAGGACGCTGAAGGGTACTAAGATGGAAAAATTAATTGACACAGACAGATGCTTAAGAAAAAAGATAGGCGAGAAAAGTTTAACACAACGTTTCAATGTCTCCGGGTCAGTTTTTATTTTTATCTTTGCCACTTGATAATGATGTCATAAGTCATGATGTCTTAAGTGTTTAACAAAATTTAATTTGGTTCGTAAACAGATGCTTGCAGTTAAAATTAATAAAGTGAAGCAATCTCTGCTGACAGGAAGCAGCAGACTACGTGATTTTTTACAAATAGGCAGTCTCACCATCTCACTTCATCTCATTTCTTATAACCCAAGCTGTAGTATAAAATTCACAACGTTGTGTTCTGTAGTTCAACACATTGTTTGAACAGATTTTTGAAACATTTCCTCGAAGTTCATCGTGCATGTTGATTACTTATCCACTGGACCCTTTTGATAACAGTTCTTTTTATTAGAACTGATAGGTTATCCTGTATAAATATTCGCGTTATTATTATTATTATTGTACTCCAAAAGAATAGATCAGCTGATGGCCGATTGTCGTGCTTTGCAGATAGTACTGAGTTTCTTTCACGCTGATGGGGCTGGGCTTCCTGTGGAGCGCCTTCAGCTTGGGCTTTATAGGGTGAGTTCCAATCATGGCCTTTTGTCCTTATGGAGAGAAGTTTTTTCTTGTTGCTTCAGTTTCGTGTTTTCTTGTGGTATATGTGTTTTTCAGGAATGTTTGGTTTTGATGAATACATGTTTATTTTACTTAAGACAAAATACGGGCTTAAGACCTGTTGTTCATATTGTTGTTGTTCAAAAAGCTCTTGTCCCGGGCGAAATTGCCGTTACCATTTTTATTTACATGGAGTCAACGTAGTCATTAGGAATTGAAATTTTTTCGTTTCATTTATTGAAACTCACTCATTGGCAAGGTCAAAGTATATTTCCATTGGAGTACTGTATAACTTGCGAATATCTCTCTCAAATAAAGCAGGAGATTTCTTCATCTGAAACTCTGTAGAACTTCTGAGTTCTGTTCTGTTCTGTTCAAGTGGCACAAGTGAATAGAACTTCGTGTTGACCCAGATTCAATTCTGTCGAATGTATAAGACTCGTACGTCAATCAGTGTTCATTTGCCGAAACTACTGATAACACGGTTGGTCACAGAGAAAGTTCATCTTGTTAACCAGACTTATTCTTAACTTATGTGTGCTTTATTACGTTGCACAAATGTTCTATATCAGTTTTCTTATGTAGTTTTGTTATTTCCCATAGACTCTGGTTGAAACCCTCAGCACTCGTAAGCTGTCCACGATTAAATTAATACAGCATTACTTAGCTGAGAAGTGCAAGGAGCAGGTATGGATCGAGTAAAACACACTAACTAACACACTAAAGAAACAGTAATAAACGTTATCCTGCATAAGAAGTTGTTACGGACAAACTACATTATAAACAAGACCCCCATAATGGGGCTACTATGGTCTGCAGGCTGCGCGATACAGAGGCCTATTTCATTGTTTAAATAGTTTCAAGTCTGTTTGCATTTATCTTAAATCACTTTCCCCCTTCCCCAAAAAGTCAAGGAATCGTACCATTGCAGGAGGGACGGAACAGGCAAAGCCTTCTTAGTTATGCGTGTGCCATTTTGTTTTTTTTGTTTTTTTTAATTTGACATACATGCTACTCAGAACTTTTTTGGGGGGCTTTGCCACAGGCAGCCCAATAGTAAGAAAAGAAATATCTCTGAACGTGTGTCTCGCTTTTTGGTACAATTCTTTACTGTCCTCCAGATAGCCAACTATGTCTTTAACTGATTTTGTAAACAATGCGACGTCGTATAAACAGGACGTGGATACCTACACTTATTGTCTTGCTGAATTCACTTGAGTGAACTGAAAAGAACGCAAATACTTTCTTTGTCGTCTTAATGTATTTTCCCTCTCAGGAAAAAGCCGAAGAAAAGTACGGGGCAGTTACATTTAAAGTGTTCTTTGATTTTAATGATCAAAAGCTGCAAGTGGAAGGTAGGTTTATTTGTACTACTCCTGATATTAAACATTTTTTTTTTACAAGTTATTAGAGGCAGAAAGCCTTTTTTACACTCGCCCGCAGAGTGCGTCTGGTGTATCAATTATATTTTATACTGTTAATTCGTTTAGTTACATACTAAGGTTCTCTTAACAGTTGTTTTGTTATCCCGTGTTTTTATCAGTGCTTTTATTGCTCAGTATAATGACTTTTGAAGAGGCATAAAGCAGTCATTGCACTGGTTTACGTAATTTAAATTACCATGTGTTCTGATCTCTTTTCAGTATTGAATGCAAAAAACCTTCCACCTTTAGACACAAATGGTAGGTGATACTCAGCTTTGCTGTGCTATAAATACTGATTTGGGATCTTCTCAGTAAACTCATTTGACTCTCATTTACAGTATCCTAATTTACAGTCATTTTGAACGAAGGTACTGTCAGATTAAACCTCTACTCAACCAACGTTAAAAAAGATTAAATCCTGGCTAAACCTGATAACAGGTTTTACCTACAAGATACAGCTATTTCAGTTAACGTTGTCGGAATTTAAGCCCTCAAGCCCTTCGTGACAAGATTGAAAACAAGGTCATAAATAACGTCGCGGTTGTCAATGCTATACTAATGATAAAAAACTTCAAAACTGTTTACCTTTGTCGTGCTTCATAGTTGAGTTGGGAATTTTGTATCGAAATTTTACAATGGTAATTTCAAATAGCTGTATACATATAGACTCTTCTGTTGTGTAAACAGGCCACTGCAGTATGGTTGTCGTTAATTGATTTCCAGGATTGTGTGACCCGTATGTGACATTGAGGCTGTTACCAGAGGATTTCTTTGGAAATGAGGTCAAGAAAACGGAGATAATCAAAAATAATTTGTTCCCCCTATTTGACGAACAGTTCGATTTGTAAGTAATGATGTTGCCATTCAGTGTGAATGTTGCGGACTAGGCTGACTAGGTAGAAATATACGTTGATGACCAACCATCAAGATGTCTGGATATTGGGTCCAAGGTCCTTTTTGCGTTTTTGAGGTTCATAAAAGCGCAAAAACACTGAAAGATAACTACATCTTGTCTGAACTTGTTTGGTCAATAAAGGTTTTAGTGTATGGCCCATACAAAATCTGTTCTTGAGGGACAAAGCGGGAAATCACGACCGTTGAAAATACATCTTGCCCTCTCGCGGAACTAGCCTTGGTGCAGTGTCAGAAAGGTCATCATACATTTTATACCAAATTGCCGTCAAATTGTCTTATTCTTTTGTCCTTTTGATAATTGTCTTGAGTGATAATCGATGACCCGTCCAAGGTAACATTTCTTTCAATTCGGCAAGTGAAACCGAGGCAAAGAGTTCTAATGAACATAAATATAACATAAGAGTAGTGTTGCCGCCATTTTGTAATAGGGTGTATTAAAATGATAGTCACGGCCAGTCAGTGTCAGTCACAGTTGAGATTGATTTGAAAGACAAAAAAAGATCCTGTTGTTGCAGTTTGTTACCTATGTTAAATATACCTGCAAAAATTACAAAAGCAAATCCTGTGCGTAACCGTTGTTCAACAATTATTGTTTTACTTATTGTTTTTGTCAGTGACGTTGAACCCGAGTTGTTGAAAGAGACTGGTGCCTGCTTACATTTGACAGTGATGGACTATGACGTGTTTTCAAATGATGATATTGCTGGTCACGCGTACTTCAACTTGAATAATATTCAGGGTTTGCTTGAAGTTGTAACAGGGGGCTTTGGAAGCATACCTCAAGAAACATGCAACATCTTCCACCCAAAACCTGAGGGACAGTACTTTGAAGGTAAAGAATCACTTTTAAGTAACTTTATTATTCATTCAAAATATTTCCCCGACTCTGATTGGCTAAAAGCACACGCATAATTCACCTTAATCAGCTACTGATGACCAAATTTGGAAGAATTTTGCGATTAATGAACCGATTACGTCAAAAGAACAGCTTCCTTGCCGGTTAATGCAGCGTTAACCGAGAAGACGTGGGGACGCGGTTGAGTTGTTTTGGTTGTGAAAACAATAATGACGGACATTTCAATCGTTTCAAGAGTAACAACTAGGCTAAATAATAGCTAAAAACATGGCAAGAACAGCAAGAAGACAACTCGAAGGGCGACATCTGCTATTTAGAGAATATTTGCGGAGCTGAACAACCCTAAACGTGCACTATCGAAGATGAACTTAACATGGATGGAGGTAAGCATGTTTTAGCTACGTTTTTAAACTAGGAATTATTTTGAATGAATAATAAAACAATTATTGAATTCGGCTTTCGTATTATATAAAGAATTATGGAGATCTAGGAGGGTGTTATCCGCGCGATCTCCATAATTCTTTATAAGATACTCAGCCTCATTCATTAATTGTTAGTATTTCTGCTAGTATTGGCTGAGGGCAGGGTATAGGAAGGTTGAGGGTACCCTCTCTAAAAGATGATCCTTTTTTGGGATTTCTCTGTTTCGTTAACATGAGAAATGAGTGAGTTTTTTGCTTTATCTTCTTGCTAAGTTAACCAGCTGAATAGGGCAACTTTTTGAATGTTCAAGCCATGCCAAGGCCTGAAGGCCCGGAGGGTAGCTCTGTGAACAGTAATGTGAAGTTACTCTCACCCGTCTTTTAAACAGTTTTTTGGCCTCGCCTGTTAACAAATGTCTCGGGTGAATGTTTTATGTTTTATATTCGAACAGGATCAATTCATACCTATAGTTTCGAGACTTGATTGTAAAATTCAGAGGATTCTGTAGATCTGAAACCAGTGAAATAAGCAACCTAAACGAATCATATACATGTAGTCTATGGTTGTCAATTTTCAAAGGTCAAGGGCAAGAATGGAAAGAACGTCTATCGGTTGACAGTCAGCACCGAAAAATGCTACGTAATAGACCCAACTGACCGACTAGGTTGAGTACATTAAAAGATATTAGCCCGGTCACTGGCGACCTCGCAAAGTTTTAAACTTCTCGGAGACACTTTGCCTTCATGTAACGGCGGACTGTCTGTTAAACTTATCCATTAGAGTAGGGTTACTCATCTTTCATGCAGGCAGCCTACAATGGAAATGTCCACTTAACTCAGATAAGCTACCGTGTCTATTGCAGTTCTCGAGTCACGTGACGAAGAGCCAGCGCAGCTGTTTGTGAAGGCAGAGAAGGACTTGTACGAGAGGACAATTAGTGCGCATGAGTGAGGGGCTGTAGTTAAAAGCTGAGCACAGATGCTGAGCAGAGTCTTGTAGTTTCCCTGGGGAAATAGCAATAGTGTGTCACGCTCTGATGGAGTAAATGTAACCAGCCTTTGACGAAGGTTACTTGGGTCTTAATTGTTTCTAGTTGATCTAACAGTCTATGATGTTACCAATTTTCGCTAGCGCTTCTTTTAGAATTTTTGCAACGTTCCTTATAGTGACCTCTCAGGAAAAAAGAATTTTGTTATTGTGTTGTTCCAAAAAATGTCCATCCCCCCACGGAGGGCACTTTTGTTTGAGACCCCTCCAACCCCCTGGAATAGAAATTCCAGGGGGCGCATGTGATACCCCCCGCCCCCCAACCCTTGGAATTTCCGTAATTTTACCAACTTGTTTGGGTACCCCGTGGAAACAATATTTCCCTCAAAAATGCCGTTGCACTATACTTTTATAATTGCGTTACAGTGAATACCACAATATGTTGTGAAACAAAGCAACAGATAGATCACCAAGTTGACTAATGAGCCGTCGACAATCGTGTTACATAAACTATCGTGCAAGAAGTGAAAAAAGCACTCAGCCTACCGCAAATAAAAGATCATCGACGAAAACAATAATTTTTGCTTTGAAACACCGATTAACAGTAAAATAACTGGTAGCTTGCTCATCAGTCAGTCTTACTCAGAGGCCCTGCCAAAAATACCTCGAGAGGCCACCCCCAATCCCTCGGAAATTGCCTCCTTTTTTCTTTTCTGTTTTCCTCCGTGGGGAATATGGATATTTTCTGGAACTACACATTTAAACGTGAAATGAGAAATATAGAAGAAATGAAAAAACAAAAGGGAAAAAAGCAGTTAAAACTTGAATGAACTAGGTTTCAGTGAAATCAGCCCTTGAATTCCTTCTTTTGATAATCAGAATTTTCAAGCAATGGGTTTTCCGTTTCTTAATCCGGACTCATCACTCCGCGTTGGTCGGCAAACAAGGCCTGGGCGAAAATGAAAAGAGGAAGTGATACTCGTTAAGTTTTCTCTCGACTCCAGCCAAGGGCTTGAGGGAGATTCGACGCTTTCTTGGCCATTGGCGCCGTTTCAACAGCGGAAAAAGCCCGACTGTTTTTCAATCGATATGGATACGTCTTTAGAATTTTTGATAAATAGTTACCGGTAAAAATGTCCTATCTCGAAAATGTAAGAAAAAAAATTTTCCTTGTAAGAAACTTGAGAATTTTTTTAGTAAACAAATAACTGCAAAGTTGAAGACCAATAAGTTTTCTCGTAGCCTGTCGTTTGTACAGCCTGGAGTCTCTGCTATCATACTTAACCTCACTTCTAGGCACACTAATGTGTAGTTTGGTATAGTACCTGGTCTCTTCCACAATGGGCTTTTTGGGGGTCGCTAGTGAGACTGGATCAGTGTTGTATCGCCGGAAGTGCACCAAAGGACCGCACCAAAGAACGTTTTCATAAGGACGTGTTCGCTTTCTTGTATTGGTCATCTCGAGATCGCACTGGGATTGGTCAAAATTTATCCAATGGTGTAAATCGACATAAGGCCGACCCAGTCTCCTCACGCGACACTTCAAGACAGTAAATCTGATAGGACGTTATTGTAGTTAGATGATAGAAAATTAGATAAGTAGATTCTTTATTTTTATACTTGTAAATGAATATAAATAAAATAACTATGACGGTCTTGATATCAGTTGTTTATTTTTCTGAGAATAATTTACAAACCAGCGGTGGATTGAGGATATTACAACTTAAGTTCCCCCAACTACCTTGATCTATAAAGCGGTTTCTAGGTGTTAGTCATTACATCTGCAAAACTCAAACGACTACAAGTCCATTCTTGAAACTTTATCAAGTACAGTGTACACACACAATAAACTCACAATTACTGGTATAACGATAAGGAAATTGCCGTTTATGTACATATGTTGTGTTTACAGTGAGCATGGCTAATGTTCTGCATAGTTGAATAGGGCCTTTTTAGCGTGCAGCAAAGGAAATAGGAGACGTCCTTACGCAGGTTACTGCTTTACTAAGCACTTAATTTTTCTCAAGGTGATCCATGGAGAAAAGATGGAATAACTAAATTCTTTTTTTTTTTTCATGCATAACGTCATATGAGTAGATTAATATGGTTCCTTACAAAAAGTGACCTTTAGAAAAGTACATCTTCGAAAGTAGCCTACTTTGAGCACCTTGACGTAGCCCGCGGTGTATAAAGAAAAATAGTTTGTAAAACACTAATGGGCATGTAGATTACAAAACTGCCTGACGTTATTTATAAGGACAAAAATAGACGCATTGAATTATTGGAAATTAAGGTCCGCCTGGAAGCTTTTAAGCAGGTAACACGCTTGTTTGAGAACAAACAATAAACATAACAAAATGGACTTTAGGCCTGAAACAACAGAGCTTAGTGCCAGGAAGAACGAATGAAATGAGAGGCTTGGAAGAGCTTCGCCCAATCCAAGCTCAGATCAAAAGTCGTACACTAGCAATGGGGCGATTTTATGGATAAATACAGTGAAGCAGAGCAAACGGATCACGGACTGGAATTAGCTTGCAATTGAGGCAAATATGTACCCTCGACCTCAAGCTAGTTCCATCACCCAGAATATGATTAAGAACGTGCTATATTACACTCCTACTAAACAACTTTCTGGCTAAATTTTAACGCACACTTGTGTCGTGCAAATTAATCCTTACATATGTACTTTTGTGTTAATCTGTCTTCTCTCAGGCCCGCATGATAACTCTACAAGAAACCAATAAATATACACCACGTGTATCAAATATTGTTTATAAATTATATACAATGATGTGCACGCTACGCGCGCTATGATTGGTCGTTGCCCGTGATCTATAAGAATGACGTCACGGGAAACTTGTTTTGCTTTCTTCAACATGGGGCGCGGTTTTGAGATTATTTCGGATTAAAGCAAATGAGACCCTCGAAAAAAGTTTAGCAGGATCTATTTACAAAGAAGAAAAATGGGGAAACGGAGACAAAAAGAGCTCTTGACTACTTGAGAATGCCTAAGCCATGCCACTTCTTTGTTTTTACCACATTTTGACGTCAACCAACAGACGCACGGCAACATGGAATCTATTTGTTAAAATAGAATAACATCATGAAACTATTGTACGCATGAAAACAGTCGCTTTAAGGGAATTCTTGTTGATTTACTAAAGTCATTTTTGGTCATTTACTTGCGTCAAAAGAATTTCTAAACGTCCCTTTGAATCTTTGTCATTATTGTAAAGTCAGCGTCCACACATTATTCTAAATCTATATTCTACTTTCAACACTGATGCGAATTCTTTTTGTGGGACAAGGAGAAAATTTGCCACCTTAAAATTCGACGTAACTCTAAACATGAAGGTTCTGGCGATTATCCCTGTGTGACGTGTCTCCTAGCAGCGGCCGGGACCGTTTGTTAGAGTGAGTACCAAAAGCAGCCTAGATTCTAGTTTGGAACAAACTACTTACAGAGAGATGAGGAGAGCGGCAGTTACTGGTATGATCCCTGGTCCTGCCAAGATATGACCTAAACGGTAAAGCAAAAATGAAAACACCAAGTGTTGTAACCGTGAATTTAACACTGCTTCCTCAATTAACAATTTGTAAAACATAATTGCCACCGCCCGCCAGCCAAGAGAAAGAAACGAAGAATACCATAGCAGCCTTACTTGACTGCCGGATTGTATTTCCACCTCTTGTCTACCCTGACGAAGGGAAAAACTGTACAACAGCTCACGATACTTCATCCACGACTGAGCCCCTTCTACTCGTCTTTTATTGGCTCGCCCAAAGGAATATTGTCTTAAATGTGAAAACGACTCAAAGTGATCTATGAATTTTTATCTCTATATAGGTTGCAATACTTATAATTTTGTATCAGGTCTTTATATATGGTACTGCATTGTTTTTATTGCATGGTGCTGTATTACAATGCATTACCTGTTATTGATTGGTCTGTACTGTCAGTATTTCATCGCATCGCGTTACGTTGCATTGAGTTATATGTTTTGTCGGCACGGCGTACGCTTTAGTTGAAACGGCGCGAGACGAACGGAACTGGCGGGAAGCGGTCACGTGGTCATCTACTCTTTCTGGGCCTTGTAAAAGATAGAATACGATGATAACAACTAACCTTTCCCGGGCATGCAATGGCTGCAAGCTGTGTAACAGGAAATGTCTCGTTCAATTGGACCATAATACATACATTCCGTGAAGTCACATCGTGGTTGGTGGATTGTACAATTTCTTATTTGTTGAATAACAGGAGCCCCTGTTTTACAACACTTTTCTTCACAATCGGTTGTTTCTTCGGTTTTCCAGTCAGTCCACATAACTAAGACAAATGATAAAATTCAGTTACTTACGTCCCGTCAACTACCGTAAACTGAAATAATCATGTATTTTATTTAATAAGTCGCTCTTCTTCTTCTTATATTGACACTTAATAAGTGTTCATATTAGAACTGAGTATCTTTCAATCAGAACTTCATTTCCGTGCGGAATTTGTCCTGGAAACAAGGCTGTTTTAGGACACTCACAACACGTACATTTTGCAAATGCACTTGCCTTCGAATGTAAATATTTAAAGGGGTTAGCTACGTCACGAGGATATTGCTGTTCTAGGTCAATTCTGTGCAAAAGTAATCACTTACTGCCTTTACTCCTAAATGCTTCTGTAGAGTTATGAAGAATATATCATCAAACAAATTCCATCTGGGCTCACATTCGTCATCATATTTTGGGTGGTTTTTGCAGGAAATTCTTGATCTTGACTTTCCTTCACCAGATAACACTATCCCGATTTTTCCAACAACATAATTCGAGCCAATTTTCTCTTCCCTAGGTGGTTCAGGAAAGTCGGAATCTCGCTGTGTTTGCCTTATAATTAAATAGCAGGAACTTAAACGGAGGCAGTCAATCCTACTTCATCCTTACCGAAAGGAACAGATGATGAGACAACCATAGCCATGACAGATGTTGGTGATATTTCATTTGGAGTCACAGTACTGGTAACGGTAACAGTTACCGTTGTAGAAGACATAGGAAGGAAGGAAGACGACGAGGACGAGGAAGACGACGAGGACGAGGAAGACGACGAGGAGCTTGTTGTACCATCACCCTGACCCTGACTCGTGTTTGATTGCAGAATCAACAAGAACATCATGGAACCGAGTACAGCTTTTGGCCACATCTACAGATAAAAAGTGCTTTTATAGCCGGGCACAATAACCCGGAGCGAGCAACTCTCATATGAAGCCTTTCTTACTGCTTTTTCGAAGACTGGTTATTTTAAAACAAATTTTAGACAACTTTTTCGTCGGGAAAATAAAAACTCCGCTCAGAATGTGTGTGCATTCGTAATACAAATTAAAAGTTGAAACGAAACGGTATTAAAGTTACCTTTGTTTCGGTCAGTATGTTTAAACACTGATTGGTTTGATCTTAAATAAACTGGTTTATGAAAGCATGCTGTCAAGAGTATATGAGAGTTGCTGTTAGAGCGAAAATCTACGTTAAAAGGTTTCTACGTTTATGTTTGGTCAAATGAAAACAGTGATACTGACACAATTATCTTTCCCTCAATTGCTGTATGAAATGCTTCACGACCAGCTTAATTTTTATCAAAATAACTCATAAGCTGGTCTTCGTAAAATAGGAATGAATACTCATTAAAGTGTCAGGTGGGTAAGTGTCATGACAATCACAGTGAAAAAACCTGGCCAGGGATCACTTGTACAAAGTTTTTACACAACAAACAAGACGAATTATTAGCATCAGGTTCAAATAATTCTAATTCTTTTTTGAACAATTCTTCAAGGTGGAGATTTTCACAGGATTTTACTGTTTTTGTATCATCATAATAAATATTGACTTGTTTGTCAAGGTATGTATGATTCACACAAACAAAAATTAATTCCGTTTTGTTTAATAGTTTTGAAACTTGTAATGAGTTTAGTTTGGAAAAAAATATAAACTGCCATTAAGAACGTTGGTATATCTTACCTTTACAAACATTTTGAAATGATCTTATTCCTCTTGCACACGTACAGTCTTACGCTCAATATGCCTCAAGTCTTAGTGCTCAGTATTTTAAACTCTTCTTGGTTTCTGTGGAAACCGAATATAGTTTGCAATTATATCTTCTTGGCTAAACCGACGGGTGGTGTTCGACTAATAAGAGAGAAAACAGTTTCACTCTACAAGAGATACGAAAACTTCTAAATTGTAAAGATAAAAAACTCACGAAGGGAGCTCAAGAAGGGAGAGAGAAAAAGTTAAACTTATTCTTTTCTGTTAAAAATGCTTGCACTCATAATCCGTAGTGGAAAAACGAAATGTAAGGAACAGATTAACCTTGAAATATTTATACGGTTACGTAATCGGCTTAATATTCTTTTAAATCTGATTTTGTTTAATGTTTTTTAGGAAACAAACGAGCCTTCCTATTCGAAATGCAACAACTTCTTTTGACAGTAATGCATCAGTCAACAGCTATTCTCAACAATAAACGTAGTCACACAACTGTCAAAGGACACCCATCCATTTAACACTTTCTATTTACAGCCTGAGACAGGTGTCTTGCCAATCATCTACAACAGCTTTCAACTTTTATCGTTATTTCTATAAAATCCTTTTCACGTATTACATCATAACTGTTAATAAACAGAAAAATTAACTATGGAAAAATAACAACACAAACAAACAAAAAACAGGCCAAAGAAAAGCACGAGTGGCCTAATATTATTAAACTGTTACCGGGCAACGAGTGATAACCAAGGGTAACAATGAATCAAATATTTTTGCTGACATCATTATGATGCAATATAGCATCATAAAGTGTTACATGTAACAACTGTGTTGGGGGCTGCTTTTATCGTCATGAATAAAAGCACTTAATCAATAGTTCCTCACGAAACGACTGAAATTCACCCTTAAACCATTGTTTTTGACTCGGCGACTGAAAACGATGGAAGCAACGTTGACCTTCTCACTCTCATGAGAAAAAATGCGCTCTTAAGGGCGGGCCTTTACTTGTTTTTCACGGAAGAACAAAAATGAAGCCAGTCAATAAGAAGTTCTGTAGGAATAAACTAGCTTGAAATAAATTTCACCAAAAGCAGGGAATGCATGTATGACTCTTCAATTTAGGATATAAACTAACTAAATCATTTTTAAGAGTTGAGAAGATAACAGACGTAGACGGCTGGAAAAGGTAGTTCGACAGAAAGAAACCTGCATACTAACACAAAGAGACACTAATGGTTGAGTTTGCTGTTTAATATATTTGAATCCCCTTTGTTCGGTTTATGACGGGGTCAATCGCAGTGCAAATAAATAAATAAAAATTCACAACAAGCCTGTGAAATTAAAGCCGCGGAGTTTAGTTTGGTTTGATCTTGAGAGGCTTTTAAGGAAAACGATCTTTCTTGGAGAATTTTTTTGTTGGGAATTTGTTGCAGCTGTCATAAACACTTTGAGACCAAAATGTTTGGGGTGTTTAATTTACCTCTAAGAAATAAATATTGACTTGCTAAGTTGCTAATGAGGCTTTCAAACAATTTTATTTGGGGAAAATTATACTTTAAGAAACTGGTTGTAGTTCAGAGAGTCAACAAGGAGGGGATAATGATAGGAACGTTAGCTTTTTCAAATGACTCACAATCAATTGTAACTCAGTGGATAAAGCCAAATTTTTGTCATTGTTGCACTTTCCAACAGCTTTTACTTAAACTAGTGTCTTAATTCGCCTTGTGGAGTGTCAGCACACTAAACTAGCTTGCCTTACCTTGGGAAAACTTTCAGAAGGATGGCCGTGTTTCTTTCGCATGTAAACAAACTTTAAATAAAGGTAGATGACTCAAGGCTTTGTTTTTGATTTGTGAACTTAGTTTCTGGGGAAACAAAGAAAAATTTCTATGAATTGGCTTGACGGGTGGTATTTAGTTTGTAACATTTCTTTCTCCTGAGACATTGGCTTCTGGAATAGGAAGTTTTGAAATATTCAGAGCAAAAAGCGTGAGAAAGTAATATCGGTGGATGTGTATCTGAAATTTGTTGACCGATACTGACCTGCAAAATTGACCAAAATTTGACATATTTCTGGTACAAAGCGTTCAAACATTTACAAAGAAATATAAAATACTGTAGGTTGCAAATCAAAAATTTTACCCCTTACCGAAATTAAATTAAACGTATCAATAATTGGTTTCTGTTAAGGTACAGAAAATGCTTGTGAATTAAAATGTCGATTTGCTTTTTTAAGGACAAAGTAATTCACCTTCATTTAAATCTGTATTTATGTTCCAGCTCCCAGTAAATAATGATTTTGGAGTTAATATTACTGATTCAATCAAACAATTCCAGAAATAACAAGGCACTCCACTAATGAGGGCTATATTGTTTACTTTATTGGTGACTGAAGACAGGTGTGTTATAAAAAGAAAATTATTAGGGCTGCTTTCAAAATTTTGTTACGGCCATTCAGCGAAACCATTTTTCGCTGGTGGCAATGCTATCTCAAATTTGAGGGGTAAAAACCCATTGCATAACCAAGGATTTAAAAGAGAAAAAAACATGACCGCAACAACAGTGAACACATTATATAGTATAATGAGATAATAAAAAGTGGTAACCGGGGATGCGAAAAAGGTAGGCAGTACCTTCATTGTTTTTGTTTTACGGCGTATATATGGACTAAGAAAACAGCCGACAGTTTGCAAAGCTACCGCTGGTTTCCAGGCCAAATAACGATTGAGAAACGAGCGCAGAAATTTCACACTGACGACGTATCACTACACAGATCTGGGTAGCGCTTCTGATTGGTTGAAGTAAATTCCCCATGAGGCACGACCAATCGGAAGCAGTAGCCAGCTATGGGTAGTGATACGTCATCAGACTTCATTTCACAGGGAAATCAGAGGTGACGTCGCGGATTATTAGCTTTTATCTCAGACTATTTAACGTAGTATATACTTCTACATATATATGGTGAAGCAATAACAAGGAAAACATAGCAAAATTAACTGATGGGCCTGATTACAGACAGAATGAAATCAGACAACACAAAGTTCTTTGTCAGTTGATGATATAATAACAAAATTCAAAGGAAAACTGACTCAGAGACAGTTTAAATGTTTTACCCAAAAGAATATACAAGAATGACATAACAACATTCAAGGGTCCTTTACAGAGCTTGTGATGACATGAACTGTCAAAACACCGTCCTATTAAGGTGGCTGAACACAGTTTTGCGGGCCGTCAGCAGTAGCGCGTGTTTTAAATTGGACAAACAAACATGGCGGCGAAAAAAGTAATGGTACACAGACGACGATTTCTCAAAATCTACTCTATAAAATTTTGTGATATTTGGCAAAATTTTTACTTTTATCGTATTTTAAATGATGAGAACTTTAAAATGGAAGTTGAACAGACGAATTTTGTAACACATTTAATAATTACGGTTGAATTACATTATTGATTATCTAAAAAACCCTACTGTTAAAATTTGGTCAAATAAGTTTCAAATGGTAATGATTAATTATAGTAAGCTATGTGCGAGTTTATGGGAAAATCTAAGGAGCGAATTTTATGTAAACTGAGTAACGGTGAAATTTTAAGATTGTATTTAATCGTTCACGTTCCCATGGAAACTACGAAAACGTCAAATTTTACCTGTCAGTCAAACTCTTTCATCAGTATATTTTTCACCTGCCAAGTTTCAGAAACTGCCAAAACTGTGTTCAGCCACCTTAAGTGGTGAAATCAGGACTGCTAATAGCCAATCAGATTGGAGAATTTTTTTATAGCTACTTTTTTAACAGTTCTCACCACAGTCCATGAAGATAAGGGTAAAAAAGTAAACAACCATGCCGTAAAATTCCGAAAATATGCCCCCCAAAATCGTAACGTAAAAAACCCTCCGTTAAATCACCCCCCCCCCGAATATAAGCCCCGCGGGGGCTTGTAATTGGAATTGGCCCTCGAATACAAAGTAAAACAAAGCAAAAAATGGTAAATCTCCCTCCCACTACAAGCTAGTTCAATCGATTTTGAAACGCAAATTACCCTCCGTACATAAGCCCCTCCAAAAATAAGCCCCTCAAAAAGGGCCTTTGAAAAAAATGAATATAAAGCCCGGGGCTTATTTTCGGAATTTTACGGTATTTTACGTCGATAACTCTCGACAGTAAAAATTGAGGTCGACGGTGCGTTCATTTTACCCTCGTCTCTCCATAAATAAATGCTACGTTTTAAGGGTATTTAAAGCTAGTCCAAGCTACACAGAAAGGAGAGAAGTTGAAACAAGGATGTGATGTCATCGGGGATCGAACTTTCGACCTCGCGCACCGAAGTCCTTTTAAAACTGAATATTAAATGTAGTAATAACCATGAACCAGAGCTCTCTTGTCGTGAATAATAATAAGTAACTTTTAAACTTGGAACGGCCATAGCTTTCTTGCGGCCAAGTCCTTGCAGGGACACTGAATCTGAGTCTCCGGCGGCAATTGATTTGTACTGGGGGGTAATGGGTTCGGACTTGAGAGGATATGGATTCGAATTCCGTCGGATGCTCATATTTCTTGCTAATTGTTGAAGCTCATGATATTCTTGTGTAACTAACTATACTACGCAACTTTTCTTTAAATGAGCTCGATATCTGCTGGACAGAAGTTTTATCTACAATGCAATATTAAGAATCCTGTAAATCAGTGTCACACTTTGATATGGCCTCTTGGTTTCTTCTCAGGGTCGCACTGCAGCTCTATAACATGCAAATAAAATAATAAGTGAAATCAGACTCTTTAGAATACAAATTGTAAGATTTCTCACGCTCCTTTTCTTCTCTACAAAACAGAATATCAACACATGCAAAACGGCTGAAGTGAGCAGAGTGAGGGCGTGACATCTTTCTACCCATCTTTTTTACCCTAAACGTTTTGGTCATTCTACAAAAAAACTTCAAGGTACCCTTGTCTGTTCAATGTCATGATGTCCTTAGCTAGTTTCTTAACATCAAGTTAGTAACTGCGTATAATTCTTTTATTTCAGTTAATTTTTGTTTTTCCTTTGTTTAAAATTCATTCACATACATGACCATACCCAAAAAGATCCAAAAACGATAGAAAACTAAAAATTAACTACAACATAAACGTGCAATTTAGAATAAACTGTCCGCGGTGTCTTATTTTGCTTCAAAGTTTGTGCAATGAATCAGCCCTCCATTTTTCTATTGAGGGTACTGTGTGGAGAGACTAAAATCTGCAAGCTGCGTGAACCGAGGGCGTGCAACCACAGTCAGTCAGATTGCCTATTCTTCGTCAAAATTGTGACCTGCCTATCAATCATTAAATTTATTAAGGTGATAGGTAAAATACATACATAGAGATAAGAAGAGCTGCGGTGATTAAAAGGAGCTCCGGTCCAGCCATGCTATATCCTAAACATTAAAAAAATAATTTAAAATGATGTTAGGGTCGAGGGGTACAATTTTCAATCGTAATTCTAACATCGATTTCTCGATTTTTGGTGCGGTTTTGCGGAAATTTTTATTTTAAGTTGCGGTACTGAGGTTTTACAAAACCAAGCGGTTTTGCGGTATTTAGAAATTTTCAAGTAATTTTAATGCGGTTTGCGGTTTTCTTATGTTATTCGGTAAGGTGTTTGTAAGTAATTCTGTGCGATTTGGCGGTATTTGTACACCCCCCCCCCCCTTTCCCCTACGCCCCCTTCCTGGAGAGCTGTGAGCTGTGAGAAGTGGCAAAAAAAATACAGTTCTCATTTACTTTTTTAATGAACATGAGAACAAAATGGAGGGAAATTTGTCACGTGGCCATTTTTCCGTTTCTCGGCCTTGAAAAGATACAATTATAGGTGTGGTTACACTAGACTTTTTCCCAAAGCTCCTTAGGGAAATAGCTTGGGTTGGGTTCGCTCTGGTTTTTGATCACTTTCATGTTTGTGGTTACACAGCTATCGATAAATTGCCCAAGGGGAAGAAAAAGCTTGAGCACGGTCTCGCGGGAAACGTCGTTATCTTCGACCAGTTTTTAATTTTACACTTTTAATAAACCTTCACATCAATTACGCTTAGCAAGAGCAGTTCAGCCATTTATTTTGAGACAAAAAATGAAGACGTCGACTTCATTCGCGCTAAAGAAAGACCCGTTCTCGCTCAAGATCTTAAGTAGGGATTTACACATTCTTGAACACCGATGAAAAGAAAACTTGAAAGGGTTTTTTAAAGGTGCTATTTATTAAACTTAAAAACATTTACAGCAGCGCTCAAAATTCTTCTGTGTTTTCGCACTTTGAGTTCCCTTTCGCGTACGAATGAACTCAACACAAAAACAACACGTGATTTCTACTGTTTGGTACATTTCACTTTCTCGTGATTGGTTGAGCCGCTTTGGGTTCTTTAACCCATAGAACCTACGTTGGGAACTGCCTTGGGAATTTTTTGTTCTTTTTGACGTATCCATGGACATTTTCCCAAGGCAATTTCACTGTGGGGAACGTTGCTTCCCCTTGGGCAACAGCCCATGGGTAAAATGGCTAGTTTATATTTAACCGCACAAAGAAAAAGAGATTCTCATGATAACATCTTACCTTTACTGGGCATGCAGTGGCTGCAAGCCGTGTAACAGGAGATTTCCCGTTCAACTGGACCATAATACATACATTCTGTGAAGTTACATCGTGGTTGGTGAATTGTACAATCCCTCACTTGTTTGATAGCTAGGCCCCCTGTGTCACAACACTTTTCTTTACAGTCGGTGTCTTTTTCGGTTTTCCATTTGTTCCACACAACTTTAAAATAATAACAAGGAAAATCAGTTTCTGACTGCAGTATTGCTCTCTTGTGATTGTAAATTGTGAACATTATCATTACCACTTTGAGAGGAGGATTTCTACGTGAAAACTTGCTTGTTCTTTTTTGGATCTCTAGGTTAATCTGAATATTTCAAACAAGGAAAAATGCATGGAAATGCATATTTCCTTCGAATTCTGCCTAAGCCTTTTTCTGCATCTCTTTCATTTAAAAATCGTTAATCACTCTCTTTGTGCATAGAGAAAATAAGGGTGGTGAGAGTGTGTATCCTCCTTACGCCTTTTTAATGGATTATTTGTCTTAAGTTTGTTTTTGGAATAAAGAGCCTGATGTAGAAATTCCAAGAGTTGACCTATAGCCAAGTAGATAGAAATCAAGTGGCCCCGCGCGTGGCTCGTGAAGATTAATCTCGATATATGATTGGCTAATGCCAATCCTATTTGGGATTTTACTAAAAAAAATGGACAACTAGTGATACCTACCAGATAACATAGATGAAGGACTGACTCCCCAAGTTTCAGCTGCGGTTGGTGATATGGTCATCCCACTAGTCTGGTTCACAATATGTGTAACGGTACTGGTGACGTCACTGGTAACAGTGTTTGTCACCGTGATGGTCACAGTGTTGGTGACAGTGCTTGTAGAGGGCGGGTATGTTTGAGATGAGGATCCCATTGGAGAGGCCGAATTGCTTGCACTTGAAGACGAACCGGGAGTGGTGCTTGAATAAGAATTGATTACAGATGGTGAAGCAGATACAGAAGAAGAAGTGAAACTAGCGCCTGATTGGACGAGCATTAAGAATAATATGGCAGCGAGTACCTCTTTCGTCAACATCTGTAAAGAAATTTTATTTAAATGATTTTTAGTTGCGTTTCAAATAAATTTATTTTGAGTAGTTGCTTTCGATATTGTTGTTATGCTTCGGTTAAAAAATTGTCTTAAGATGTTTTAACGACCAGTATATTGCAATTTCTCATAAAAGTGGTATAAAACCGCCATGCTGGAGAGTATGGGACGCACTGGGACAAAAAAAATAAAGGAAAATTATAACAGCATTTTAAGGGCCTGTTTACATGGAGGTAAGGGACCCCAGGTAGGAAACCCCATTAGGTCGGGTAACCTGCCTGTCTATATAATCAGTCTCATTTCAATTTGATGACGTTTTTATTATAGTTGGGTTGGATCACCCAGGCGGGTTGCCCTGTCTGCCAGAGCGGGTAACCCTTTCAGTCGGGGTCAAATTTTGCCATGTGAACGTTTCAAGGTGGGGTAACCTACCTGTATTCGCATTACATTTAATTCGCCCAAATACCTTTTCCAGAGGCTTTGAATCATTAAAAGTAAAAGCCACACCACTGAAAGGCTACAACAAGAGCAGTAGGAGAGAGTAGAAGAGCGTTAACCGCCGAAACACGTTATTGCCCACCATTTTTGTGTTTACGTGCCAAGCGACCATTAAGTAATCTTGAGAAAAAGTGCATACCGGGATTACGGTGTGTAAGGTTGCATGTAAACGGCGGTTATTTTTTACCCCACCTGAACGGGTTACCTCACCAACCTGGAGTCCCCCATGTATCACCCACTAATGCAATAATCGACCACTATTGTAACACTAACTACCGTGAATGTGATAAATACCAACCACTAATGTAATACGAACCATTAATGTAATAAATATCAACCACTAATGTAACAAAAAGTTAACCACCAATGTAAAAATTTTCTAACCTTTAATGTAATAAAAAACTTAACCACTAATGTAAAAACATTGCGACCATAAATGTAAGAAACTTGGTGGCATTTGATTTGCAATACGCACACTAACAATGTTGCCCGTTTCACCATCCGGGAATAAAACCTGTCTTGCAACAAATCAGGTTTTTGCAGGTTGCAGAATTTTGTTGCAGAAAGTAGAGAATAATTCTAATATTTGCAACAACATCTAGTTGTAAAACTGTACTGTAAATGTAATTGTTTTTAATACATAGTTGAAATTTTTACTCAACAGCGCGCGATCTTATCGGTTACTTCAAGGTCACATGACATCTAACAATGAAACTGTTTCCCGCCAAAATCTCTGAGCGGGCAACATTGCAAAATCTATGATGTCAGAGGGTAAAAGTGCACTATCACCTGCGAATGTTGATCGACTACCGTCGTTACGGCGAAGTTTAATGAATTTTCCAGTTATATAATCTCAATTAGAGATTCCCGAGAATCTCAATAAAACATTGAGGCGATTCTGTGGAAAAAAAATTAAGACTGTTTGCCTCGGGACCAAGTGAGACTTGGTTTTAATATTTGGCCCTTTCAGTTTAAAATTTTCTTTGATTCTACCTCGATCCCGCATACTCACGCTTAGTTTACTTTGTAAGCTGCGAGTCAAATACCTTTATTTTTTATTTGTTTCTTTATTCTTTTCCAAACGAACTTAGTTTCGAGGTAACCAAAACAAATTTCTGTTTATTTTCTCCAATGAATTGACAGGTGGTTTAAGCTCGGACTATGGCTAAAACAGGAACAGTTAACTAGTGTCACAGAGGCCTTTTCGATTAAACGTTAGCTGTTAATTACAGACACTAGCAGATCGAAGCAGAAATTAAAGCTTTAAAGAAACGTTTGTTTGTTATCTATGTTACTCAAAAAATAGGCCTTTGTAGAAAGGAAACTTGTAAGACTGGGGAACTGTTAACCTTGAATTAACAATTCCTTGTGGCGGTGTTGAATTATTTATTAGTGCAAGTGATAGGTTTCAATTTTTTATAGTTTTGTTTTTCATGGCTCAAAAGCAAAACAATTTATTTCAGTTAATGTTGTTGAGGAGTTCTGTCAGTATTGCTGTTTACTTTCACTACTGAGGTAAATTCAAAACTAACTGGATGCACGGCTACTTGATATTTTATGTAAAATATTGCACGTCCAATGTAGTTTCAAGACTGCAACTAGCAGGTGTCCGTATTGAATATAAAGCTGTTTCTAACTCTAACTTATACTTATTGTTTCAATTATTAGTTATTATTCTGGAAAAATCATTTACTTGCTTTCTTGAAAGTAGTTATTCTTCAATTAATTTATTTCAGCACACCTTTTTAGGCGACAAAACTTCGCCATTCTGAAGTACAAGCGAGAGATTTGTTTGAATAAGTTATTCTTCAATTATTTCAACAAATCTGTTTAGGCGACAAAACTTCGCCATTCTGAAGTACAAGCGACAGATTTTTTGTTTAAATTGTCAAATTTGAAACGTTGCAAACTGTTAAGTGTGGACGAGAATTGATGATGAAAGCGATTTTTTTTTTGTCGCTTAACATTTTGAAAGCGCCTGGGTCAGTAATCGCTTTTCACTTGTTTCGTGGCAATATAGAAATAGGATAAAGTCGGAAACATTTTAAATAGAGGCCACGGTTATTGAACCGGCTCTCTTTTTAGTAAAGGCTATGATTTATTTACAGTGTTAATGGGAAAACCGACTTCTTACATAAAATAATTAGAAAAATGGAGTGGTACTTGTTTAAGAAAGCCTTTTTGTGCGTACGTTCCTTTTAATCCTTTTTTCAAATAATCTGGACGCAGTAGGAAGATACAGTTAAACTCTCTCTTAAGCTATGAGTTGCACTAGCTTAAACGGCACGAAAACCACTATCGGATAGGGCCTGTGTTCATTCATGAGAACGGCGATACCAGTCTGTAACAGAACGAAGGCTGCGCCAAGCCCGGCGATCGTGAAAAGTGAATCGTCACTCCTATAATCGGAGAATTTTTTTACTCTCTGAGTCTTCATAACAGATCTTCAGACCAGGCCGAAGTACTTTTCATGTCAGTCGATATGAAAGACTCTCCATTATTGTCCGTTCGTGTCCAAAAATCTACACTAGATACATGGCTTTAAAACACTTCAGCCAGTAACTCTGAATAACAAGAATCCCTGTTTCCATTGATCAATTATTTATTTATCAGCACATGAATAAAGTCATTTCTGTCTCCATCGTCACACTTAGATAAGCACTGAAGAAAACTGGTGCGTACTGTAAACATAGCGATACGAATTTTTTTCAGACTCATCACTGGATAATTTGTTGTTTTGAAATGAATTTCAAAATAATATACATAATTAAACTGCAAGGGGTTCTGATCTAAGTAGCCACCTCTGGATTTAGTATGAATAATATATAACGGTTCATATTGAAAAGCGTATTTGACGTGATGCACTTTATTATGGATCCTCAATTGTGTACAGTCGCATCGTAATGTTTCTATAATGTAAACTGGCACACGAATGGTTTTCAGACAACAGGCAGCATTTTAGTTGCTACAAAACTCACAACTCAACACCGATCAAACAGAATTGTTACCTGCAACATTTCAGTCCGTGAGTTGCCTTTTCGACCGATTAGCCCCTACTAGGATCTCACTTTAATTTTTTCTAAACTGAATTGGAACCCTCCAGATTTGAAAAAGTAAACGTCATAGGACTTTGGTTCATACGAAATTTATTATGGTAAAAATACAAGAGCGATGTAAATACTTGCATAGTAAAACCAATGAGGGATCTTGAAGCTCGTAAGAGAAGACAGGCCGGTTTCGTTGTCAACGTACATAACTCCTGTCTTCTTAGCAAAATATGTCAGGGATAATTAAGAATTTATTTAAACAAATTTTGCCCAGATTTTTTTATTTAGATATGTATAGTGTCAAAAATATCTAATGTGTATATGTTTTTGGCTGTCAGAATCGCAACCGCAACTATCGCAGTTTGACAAACTACACTCAACTATCCTGTCAGAAAAATAACGAAAATGACAGAGGTTTAGGACATAATTAGATATTTATATATTTTTTTGCAATGTACTAGATGGAAATTCAGGGATGAAGAAAAAATATAGTTTAAATACGTCATCCAAGAAACTCTCGAGGCTAAACTAGTTTTTAGCTAGTCATAATACAGAGTTTTCACCGATTAATATTTCCCGCCTGAAAAACATTTCTTTTTGTGAAATCACTTAATTATTTTGCGCCCCTCTTTTCCGCTTGATTCTTTTAGAAAAATACACATTGACTTAGTATAACAACGAGTGTGATAAATGAACGAGAAAAAGAAACAAGAAAAATTCTGGAATCCAGTAATGAGGTCACTGCAAAAAAAAGAGAGAGAGAAGAAAAACAACCAACCTTAAATGCAGTAGAGATCTTTCTCTTTCGCTTTCGTCAATCTCCTTGATACCTGACTGTGTCACCTAATGAAAATGGTCGATGATAGTGTTTTTAATGTTGTTCAGTCGTTTCCATGGGAACAAAATGTAATTAAAATTGGCCTTCGAAAGCTTAAATTAAAAAAATATATATTAACAACAATATAGGTTTTGCTAGAAAATGATTATTTTTCATCTTTCTCGATATTATTTTTATCGTTTTGGGAGATAATGTGCTTATAAGTTTAATTTCTAAAATCTCAAAGGACAACAGACAGTGAAGGCAGAGACTACAGAATGTGCATTTAAATTTAGCATGACCCTTTGTAAATAACCGCATGAAACAAAATTGTAGAGTTGATCACTGTAGGCCTAGCAATAACTATTAAGACGGAATCCACCAGATAATTGAGTAATTTTAATTTTTAGTGAACAAAAAACCTTGTACCAGAATTGCATTCTTTTTTACATTTTTCAAGCGCTATAGGTGCAATTAGTTATCTGTAATAGCACCCAAGAAAATTTCTTATGGGAGCCCGAGAAAATGAATGACAAATTTCAAAAGAATTGTGAAAACACAGTCAAAATTCTGAAAAGTTCATGGGCAAGATGTCATTTTGTGAAGTTTGACATTTAGTTTCTAGGGCTCCCATAAGAAATTTCTTTGGTGTTTGATTAATTACATCTATAGCCGTTGAAAAATGGTAAAAAAAGATTGCAATATGCTTTAAATTATTCTGGTACAAGGTTTTTGTTCACTGAAAATTAAAATTACTCAATTTCCTGATGGATTCACAAAGACTTTGATCCAGTTACACACCACTTTGGACAGCTGTTTTCACAGAGACTTTGTTTGCCATTCAAAGAATGAATTTTTAAAAAGGTAGCGTTAAAAACAACCGCAGGTCTTCTTTGGCGGAAATGAAAACGACGGCATAGTTGATTTTACGTTATAAACGAGACTTGATTAAAGGCTTGAAGAAGTGGAAACATTTTATATGGGGTATTGAAGGGGATTTTTTTCGGGGCAATCGTTTCTTAACTGACAACCAGGTGGACATGTATGGTCTTGCGAGGTCATCGGTTCTGAACTTTTCAACATAATAATAATAATAATAATAATAAAACAATTCCTTCATTAGAGAACAAAAACAATCCTATATATAATAAGTGAAGAAAGAGAAACTATTCATTTACAAATTCTAAAAAATAGAAGTAACTTAACCTTACATAGAAGAAGAGGAAATAGATATAATCAATAATAAAAGTTCAAAATTCTATAAAATTAAGAATGCCATTATGCAGAGATATTAAGATCATACAATCGAATTAAACTAATGACGGCTAAACCAGTGTCCATAAAAAGCCCTAAGTATAAAAGCATATAGACACGTATTTCAGATATCCGCACTAGCGACATTTATTTTACAGTCTAATGATTGCTCTATCTTGCTACGAAACGGCGTTCGCGAACCTCTGACGCATGCATGTACCGATCTTAAGAGTTCAAACGAGATCTGTGTCCTGAGCCAAGTGATTACAACATGATAAGGCTCGGTGTCTTTCTGAGCTATCTTGTCTGCGAGATGCTTTAAGAACCGCTGTACTGTCGCACTTTGTAATAATCGTCGAACTTTGTAATACCTGTCGCACTTTGTAATAAAATTGTCACACTTTGTAATACCTGTCGTACTTTGTAATAACACTTGTCGCACTTTGTAATAAAAAAGCTGTCGCACTTTGTAATAACAGACCATCGCACTTTGTAATAAAAAAAGCTGTCGCACTTTGTAATTACACTTGTCGCACTTTGTAATAAACTTGAAATAGATGGTCGGAGGACAAGTAAACCCAGTAATAAGTGTCATCATCGACAACAACAACAACGACAATAATAATAATAAAATATTTTTAAAGTTTTACTACCAGCACAGGCAACTAGAAAACCTATGATTTCGTTACCTGCAAGGTATTACTTGAGACATATACAGAGATATTACTTGATTTGTATTTATTACCATGAATAAGCTATACTGTATTTCATAAAGCCAAATGAAAATCACAAACTCAGAGCCCAACCCGGTATCACAATCATTGTCATCATCATCATTATTGTCACTATTATTTTCGCACTAAAATGTTCTTTAAAACATTGCATATCACGTCATTGTGCCACGATGACCACTACTAATGAATGTTGTGGAAATTTCGAATACGCTGGAACCTACATGAAACGGCATCATTGTGATAAATACACAAAACCAGTGTTAGATCTGGATATATTTAAAGGCTACGTGCTGTGTACAGCTGAACATTGTTCTCTGAGATCGCGTAAACCTGAACTTTACGGAGATATTAAAAGCAGATACCCTAAGATTACAGCAGCTATGGAAAAATTATTATATTTTTGAGTAGACAAATCTCATAAACGGGCCAGAAATTCAACATGAATACGCGCGAACTGAACAAATTGTCTGTTGTACATTTTAAAGGTTTTGCTCAACTTACACAATTTTCCCTTGCTGAACATAAACTGTACCGAGCCGTATCTTAGTCCGTTATATATAAGCTATATCATGGTTCAAATTTTAAACTATAAGATCCCTGAAAGAGTTCTCCTCAATGGAGCAATATGTAAAAGGTTTTGAAAGGTTTCACGCCGGTGAAGATGTGAGGCCTGTCACCTCTTGCAAGTTTTTACTTTATTATTATTATTATTATTATTATTATTATTATTATTATTATTATTATTATCATTTTTATTGTCGTTGTTGTTGTTGTCCATGATGACACTAATTACTGGGTTTACTTGTCCTCCGACCATCTATTTCAAGTTTATTACAAAGTGCGACAAGTGTTATTACAAAGTGCGACAGCTTTTTTTATTACAAAGTGCGATGGTCTGTTATTACAAAGTGCGACAGCTTTTTTATTACAAAGTGCGACAAGTGTTATTACAAAGTACGACAGGTATTACAAAGTGTGACAATTTTATTACAAAGTGCGACGATTATTACAAAGCGCGACAGTACAACCGCTGACACTCGTTTCTCATTGGTTCCAAACACTAAAGGCGTAAACGAACCCATTTCTACATCTAACACCCGCTGCTGGTACTTGCGCTTCTTCTCTTCTTCTTGCTCTTTGAACACTTCCGATGTTGGCTTGCTCTGGTAACACTTGGAGTTGACGTGCGTAACTCTAACATCAAAAAATGCCGTAACTCCTCTTGCCCAGAAACCTCCCGTTTTGATGTCCAATCTTGCCTCAGAACTTGTAACAGCGCTCCTCAAATGAAATCGCTCGTTGTCCAGGGGTTGGAGGCGTGGTTCGATTTCGACATTCTTGCAGGTCTTGTCGATGAATGTCGTTAACAAGTTCCGTACACCGTCATGTCTCTGCGCTACAAACCCCCCCTTTTTACAAGAGAGGGCGTGACTAACGGTGAATTTATCCCCACATATGCAATGACTTGGTAAATCGACTAAGGGCAAGTCATAACGCAAGCGTAGCGAGTCTCTGAATTCTTGCTTGTTGAGGGCTAAACCTTTGTCTGCGAGAGGCATCGCATTCAGCCAAGAACTTGCGCCCTTGTCCCTCGATTGATTAACCAGACGCAGCAGGCCTGGGGAGAGGCTTGAATCAATGCTATCCATTTTCACTTTGGCACTTGCTCTCTTAAGTGATTGTTGATGCCTCTTTAGCTCCTCCGTAGATCTTTCTCCTCACACCATGATGAAACTCTGTGAAGTAATAGAATCTACGTGCGCGGTGGTTATTAGTCTCGAGGCAGCAAACTGCTGCGGTGCCTCGGATTTCAGATCAGGAATGCCTAGACCCCCTTGACCTGTTGCTAGGGTAGCAAGTCTGCGCACCTCATTAGGGAGAGGCTCTGATTGACCGAACAAAATTGGGAGTAGTAAATCTTCAATCACTTCCTGGATTGGATCGACATAAACTTCAAACGATTCAATCGTGCGCATGAAGTAGGTGAACTTCGACTTGTAGCCTTTTGTGAAAGCAATATACGCCGCATGGGGCTGGCTCTTCGCTATTTCAGAGAGACGTTCGATTTCCTCTTTCCATGCACGAACCTTCTCCTCACAATACTGATCTTTGTATTCTTGCGACGCAATAACTGCTCCCAGATGGCGCTGACCTTCAGTCGTTATGTTGACTTCCTCTCCAAACACCCTCTTTGCTTCCTCCGCGAGTTCCCTAGACTTCACAATAAGCCAGCTCTTTGTCCCATTCACAAGGTAACCAAACTTTTGACCTTCCTTACTCAACTGCCTGTACCAGTTGTATAACTGCACTGCACTGCACTGCACTTTATTTAAAGAGGGTAGCACGGAATAGTTACAGAAACTAGTAAACTTGTGGCCCTTGTGACTTCTCTTATACGTTCAAGTTTATGATTTCAGTGATTTCGCTGTTGGCATTTTTCTTCTGGTGGTATCCTGTTGACTGATTCGCGCTAATTTCTTTTCCACAAAAGAAACTTTTTTGCTTGGTTTCTACGGATTTCTCCCTTATTTCTTGAAAACTTTTTCTAAATTCTAAGACCTTTCGGCTTTAAAAACCAGTGAACAATTCCAACTTCGCATTTGCTCTACTGATTCAGGTAGACTGCCGGCTCCACTCTTGTGTTTCATGAACATTAACAGGAGCCCATGACAGGAAGCTAGCTAGACTGCAAAAAAGACCATAGTTTGGAGTTCCGGCTCCTCGCGAAAATCCCACGGAGGCGCCTTAAAACGGATTTTGAGGAAAAACCGACCGTTTTTTAGTCTAGAAGCTAGCGGAAACGTTTCAAGTGTCTGGTTAGTTTTCTCAGTATAATGGCCCTAAATGGAACCCGATTCACAGTTTCTTAACTCTATTGAGGTAACTTCAGAGTCATTCGACAGCCAAATACCCTTGCCGAGACAGTTTTGATATCACTTGAAAACATAAAAACACAGTCATCTTCCCTCAGCCTCTTCATCCCGGCAGCCGGGATGATAAGGTCGCAATCAAATGTTACCACCCTACCCCCTGTCCTGAGCTCTGGCCTGTGCTTCACGTACAGCCCATGTTAGATCTAACTCCTCCAGCTCTTTCATCACTGTTCTCTGCCAGGTGGTTTTTGGCCTGCCTTTAGTTTTCTTGTTCTCAGTTGGAGCTCATCTCATGGCAACTTCAAATATACTGTCAGTGGGTATCTTTAGGACATGGACAAGACATCACGGCTTAGGGGCCAACCATTTGACTTCTGAGGGAGGTTATGGGAGATTTAAGAAAAAAAAATATCCCGCAGACTGATTTTGATAAAAAAAAAAATCTTGCAAGGAAATAACTTCGGAAAAAATATCCTGCACTGAAAAAAATATCTCGCATGGCCGATAACGCTGGAAAAAAATCTTACACCGTTGAATGTTGGGGAAAAAATTCTTTCTCCAGAGTTTTGGGGAAAAAAAATCCTTACCCAAACCAAATCACTTATACACCCCATCAAAAGTCAAAAGGACGACCCTTAATCCCATATTTTGGGTTACAGTGGAAATAAAGTCGCGTTTCGTTGCCTTTTTTTCTCCTGCTTTGCGAATCGAATGTTACGTCTTTTTTATTTTAAAAACCCATTCCATTTCAAACAGAGAGTAAGGGGACATATAGTGGGAAGAGAAGAAAGCGTTGGATCTGTAATGGCCATGAGGCAGGGGTTGTCCGTAATGGGGCTCAACTAGATTAAACTGGTGAAAATTCAATAAAAGAATCCAACATTTAAAGTCAGTGGGTTTTTTTAATTAAAATAATTCCCTAAATACAATTTTCATCAACTATAAACTACGCTGCGCTTTACAGTAACGGTGCCATAACCAAGTTCAAGAGCTCCATGTTTTTTTTCTACAGTTCACAACATCCTGGTAAACCAAGGGAAAAATACAATAGAAAGTTTTCTTAAACATGGACTTATTTCCAAATGATTTGAAAATAGTCGGCGAAAGCATTTTTGATCGCTTGCGACAGTGAGTTACTTGACCACTACACTGTAATGGAATATTGGTTTAGACTAAAAGTTTACGTAGCAATTAAAAAAACTAGCCTGTGACTACAAAACTTGGGTTTTTTATTTCCACCATTCAGACCAAGCCATGTTACTCTTGAGAACTTTTTTCTTTCACCCTATTCATGTGTATACAAACTTGCGTATTACAAAACAAACAAAGAAACAAACAAAGCAGAAAAAAGACCTCCTTGAGAATGTCACATGGTCTGAAATAGGTAAACTAACAATCTAAACTAAAAAGGATTAATTGCAAATAATATTTGAAAATTAATGAAATTAAAATTAACTAAAAAAATGTCTGTTTCCCCAGCTTCACTCGATTGGGAGTGAGTTTTAGTTTGTTAAATATTCTCACAATAATCTACAAAGGAATATCCTGAACTCCATTATGTAATAACAATATTCAAATAGTCGCAATTAAAGAACTTTACGCATTTTTTTTCATAGAAATAGCACTACCTTGCGAATTTACTTTTAATTCGCTCTGTTCTCATATCGTTGAGAGGAAATTTGTACAATCGATTCCAAAATCTCTGATAACTTTTGAAAGCAGTAGAACCCCGGCAGATTTTTATCCGTGGACCTTACGATCTGACATCGGCGACGCCAGTGAAAACGTCACTAAAAACTGACTCCAGTGCCGTGTGAGCATAGCCTCTGTTAACCACAAAATAGGGTACTGATTATGATAGCATTTTACTTTGAGTGAATAAAGCCTTATCCAGCGGGTTGAATTGCTGTCTTGTCGGTTAAAAATATCTAGCCTGTCCAGATAGTGACAACGCCAAAATGGTTCATAATAATTAATATTTTCAATGTTTTTCGTAGCGATATTATTGTCTTATAGAACAATAATACTAACTAGAGGCCCGCACCTATTTACAATAGCACCCCCTCTCCCCCAGGACATTTTCCTGCAAAAAAGAGGCGGGTTTTTTGATGGCATTTGTATCTAAGGTGCTACTCTAAAGGTTTTGACTGTTGCAGGAGCTGTGTCCCGAAATTTATCGAAATTCAAACAATGGGAACTGCTTCTAAATTATATGAGTGAAACTTAAACATGAAAAGAAGGTATAACCAGCACATGCAGTAGTACAAAACTAGGCAAGGATGGACAAATTTAAAGAAGATTACAACGGACTAGAATTGTGGCTTTTGAAAACTTGTAAGCCTGACATTTTTTCAAAGTTGCTTGTCGTGTTCCTTATAATGCTTGGGACACAATTTGTTTGACAAGAAGCAGTGAGTTTGTCATTTGCATGTAGTTTCCTTCATAGTAATGTTGAGTCAGTTCCACAGCGAATAAGGACGCGAAATCAGCAATTACAAAGATGAACGAGACAGCCCGACCCCGCGGCGGGAGCCCGACGAGGTGTAACGGCTCTGAGGCAAAAAATCGTCTAACGATCGACCACAAACTGTGAAGTTCAAGCAAAAAACACATTTTTGCCACAAAAACTAACAATAACAGATCACTGAACAAATGTTAAAAAGAACGTCAAGGCAACCTTGATTTGCTCTTCCTTAATCTGTTTATAAAACTATTGAAAATATGTTTTGTGCAAATCACAGTCTTTCCAGAAAGTCTTCGGTTGATTTTGACAATGCAAAGAGAAAATAACGAACAAAAAATTTAGCTGTATCGGCGCTGAAGGGCGTTGTGCAAGTTATCCCTGGCTTAAAAATATAAAGGTGCTACTTTATTGGGAAAGAAGAAGGTTTTCTACACTTCAGAACCTTAGCACTGTTGGAGAACATTTACCTAATTCTAATATACTCCTTCAAGGTATTCACCTGTTTACAAAAACATGTGAACAAAATATAATCTTACCCATCATAGAACGATTTTGACTACACACAGCTCATTCTTTAGTAAAATAAAGGGGCCGTGTCGGTCACGGCTGGCTCTGAGTTCGTTTTGTCTATAATGCCAATGACGTGTTCCTATTGGCTATGGAACATGAGAAACTACTTTTGAATTACAAACACAGCTTCGTGTTCAACAAACAAGTTACCTGAAAATTATCGAACAATACAAGTAACAAAAACAGTGAACTTTAGAATTTCAAAACTGAAGCACAATTGCAATCTTCAATCTTCTTCAAGTTTTTCCATCTGTGCCTTCTTTTTATTTGGTGTGTTATTTAATATACCTTCTTTAATGTTTTGAGCGATTTTATTATTATTATTTTTTTTTTTCAGTTAATTTTGCGGCAGTTCTCATTGTTTCGTGACATAGCTTCATATGGGTGGTTAATGCACCTAATAGCTTGACTGCCCAGTCCTGTTCTTACACATGACACAGAAGACAGCAGATACATTATTTATCTTGATAGGAATTATGCATCACAAGTTCAATGATTAAAAAAATAAAAGCTAATTTAATAGCTGCCTCAGTCACCATCTGTCATCTGAAGGAATTGTGCATAAGCATCACGTGAACATTCTCCTTTTGAGTTGAATGCAAATTTGTAATAACTTCCATCTGCACAGACAGCTACAGAGAAATAACAAACAGATTTAGAAGACAGGAGATAGAATACCTTCCTGTAAAAACTACTCAAGGCTAAACAAAAAGTGAAGGAACATTAGGAACATAGTTTCAATAAAAACTAACGTTATTAGATGTCTCAAGCTTTTTACTACAATGCTACAAACCAGTACTCTGTAATTTAAAAAAGATTTTATGCAACTTTTTTTAAATAATGACTATATGAATTTCATATAATTAAACCAAAAAGGAAGTTTACCCAAGACCAATCCCAGTGTGTCACTAACTAAAAATAAGTTACCAAATATTAGAATGGAGTCCATCGTAAGTACTTTTCTAAAGTACTTTTTATTATATATGCTGCACGATATACACGTAGCTCTAACTTTGGGGCCCGGAATGAAAAAAATAGAATGAGACCATTTAAAGCAAGATACCGAGCACCTTGTACATTCCTATGGTGATGACTGGTTGATATCCGCCTGGTTAGCAGAGTTTAGAAGAGCATTGGGAGAAAGTGGGTTAAAACCCCAGCCAGACTAACCAAAGGTGGATAGCACTATCCACCGGATAAATCTCTATCCAACTGGATAGCGCAATTGGTATCCCTATTATTTATTCACTGGATAGTGATTTATCCAGTGGAAAGCACTATCCAGCTTTTGAACAACTGGGGCCAGGGACTTAAAAAAGTCACGTTATTGGCAGGGATGTGGCAAAGAAAAAGCTAAGCAGGCTTTTTTACTAGTCAAACTGGGCTTTGTACTCTATTGGACCTTTGACATTTCCCCCACTTCTTTGATTTTTTTTGCAATTTGAGCCTGCCAGTGGTAAGCTCTTTATCAGCTGGTGAAATAAGCCGGCATCCAGCTCACAGAGACATCCCTGCATTAGGCGGTAAAGTTAAGCCGTTGGCCATGTCTCCTTCATCCTTCTTTCATTGACCAAATGGAAGAGATTTTTGTAAGAGAAAGGGAAGAGTACTACAAACGAATAGGGGAAGTTCCCCTAATGGCGTGGTCTACCTTACACACATCATTCATATCATGGGCTGGGTGGGTTAAAGTAAGCTCATAAAATTAATGGACTAATAGTGGCTGCCAGTGGAACCCTTATATGCTGACCTCGGAGCTTAATAATACTAATAACGTAAGGAGGGCACATTCCACCATATTTCATTCATTCACAAACAGAATTAACATCTTGATTGTTGTTGTTTTGCTCCACTTAACTTACCTATAACAGTGTTTTTCTCTGTTCCAAATGCACACACACAATGAGGATCACCAGGAACTTGAAATCTGGAAAAACTCCACTTGGAGCTGAAGTACTTTGGAAGAAAGTTATGTGCTGAAGCAAGACTAAAGAAATAGACACAAAGTGAACAGAAATTCACACTACTTTACCTCCTAACAACCTGTTATTTGCATATTATTTACAGGTTTTAAGTAACACATGTCAAATTGATGCCAGTTTTTTTGCTGTTTTTCTTACAGGGTTTCTGATATTATGTGATGCTGTGTTTTTGTGAAATTACTGACCTCAATTGCATCCAATAGCATAATCCTAAAGCCCGTGGTCACGAGCGATGCAAGTACAGGCATAAGCATAAATATAAGAGTTACAAGCATAATGCAAGTAATAGCAAAGAAGAAGCTTATGTGCTAGTAAGGAAAGCTGTGACATAAGCGTAGGCATAAGCGTAAGAAGAATACAAGGTTCTGCTATTCTTGTGTTTATGCTTAAGAACCTTACAATGTTCATATGAAATAATCTGCAAAATCTTGAATGCACTGTAAGAATTAGCAACAAGTGTAGTTTAAAGTTATTAGGCATTGAAAACATCACACTGAGCAACTGGCACATTTTACAATCAAAGTAAAAACCTAGTATCAATTCAACATTAAATATTATTTTCTCCACAGACCAAAGAAATCACATGAGCAAAAAATATCATCCTTTTTGCAGCATAATGACCTCCTTGAAATTATACACAATTTCCTGAACATTTTTTTACCCTAGTATATGTTACAAGTGAAATTTTATTTCAGGTTAGCTTTGATTTAACCAAGGCGGGGGGAATTCTCCATTTTCTTCGTATCCTTGCCCAAGGCTAGAAGACAAAGGAAATTGAGAATCAACCTAGGTTGAAAACTCTTAACCCATAATCAACTTTGACTTGTAACATATACATCGGAAGGCCTGCTTTTATGATTAAAGACAATGTTTAGGGTATGAAATGCATGGTTACAAAGTATACTGTAGCCAGAAGGGGAAAGCACAATCATACCTTGACTGTTTGTTTTTCTTGGGTTCTTCAATATCAAATATGTGCACAGTGCCATGGTCACTGGATACACAAAGCAGTTCTGAATCATGGTTAAAGTTGATACTGTGAATGAATCAAAAGTAGAAGGCTCCTTACCTTAAAGCAAAATAAAAAGTCATGTGGTCTGACTGTGTGGATGAACTTGAAATATTAAGCAAAGTACCAAGTTTTCTGAGAAAATCCACTTTTAAGCATAAAACAACCAAATCTAGCCATGAAATGTTGAATCACGTAAAAAAAGCCAGCAAAAGACAACTGTTAGGTCTTTTCATTAACCCATTCACCTCTGAACTCCCCATAACTGCCTGTGTAGATCCATGCATCCCTTCTACCACTTGTGACCTCATCAGTTTTAATGGTCAAGGACAACTTTGTCAGCTATAAACTTTGGAAGGTTGATCAGATCTTTCAAGCCATACCAGAGCATGATTGAGATTTGGTCAGGGAGGCCAGAGAAAAAGGCAAAAAACCATGACACACTTGACCCAAAAATGAAATCTTGTTCCACTACCCACTGGCATTTCCTAAGTTCCCAAAAGCTTTTCCAAAAACTTTTTCCACTGAAATGAAGTCCACTGAATGCCCAGCAAAAGAATAGGGGACTGGGGGGAGCAATTTTGCTTTCTGCACGTATCCTGCAGACTTCAAATGCTAATGTTTTGCATCTAGTTGATAAAAAGGTCATGAAGTGTCGACCTATAAAATTATTGGCTCTGTGGTAAGTTTTTGTTCTTTATAGCAGACTGTCACCACACAAAATGGCTTGACTAGCTTCAGAGTGCATTTTCGAACAGCAAAACTCCAGGGAGCAAATGGGCTAAAAGCATTCACTGCATAATCAAACATTGAAATTCTAACCCTAAGTAATTTTTTGGACCTGCGTGGGTAAGGTCAACCTTTTCCAGGAGGTACAAGAAATCAAGATTTTGCTGTATAAGTGTTTCTTTCCTTATTAATTAAGTTCTTACCAGTAAATATTAGCACTTCCAGACCCACGCCTTAGCTCATGAAGTTGTGTTCCACTACTTGTATCAAACACTCTTATTAAAGTTCCCTAGGAATAAACAATATCCATTACTATTTGCAGTAGTTCATTGACAATCTGATTAAGGCACACTTTCCAGTGTTGACTCATTAAGGGACGCAAAGAGAATTGAGTAAGAAGAGGCATTGGAATAATTGACTGTCTGAATACTTTGGCAGCATTGTTTGTGAGTAACTTTTCAGTGCTATCATTAATAACCATAAAAATTTACACTGTAAAAATAGGCCACTGTAAAGCCACTCAAAGGTGTCACTTTGATTGCTTCAAGAGGCCAGTTTCATCACAACAAATCAAGTATTTTATCATACCTTTTCTGAGGCTGTAGCAAGCCTTGTTCCCTGTAAATTCATTGCTATACAGCTCAGTGCTGCCTCATGAGCTGCAATCTCTTGTGGAGGTCGTTCTGTGTTGGCCAAATCAACAATCTGTACATGGCCTGTCTTTCGTGCAGGAAATGCTAATAATGAGTTGTTGCTGCTTGGACATAGCACACACAAACCTAATAAAATAAGGCAAAAACAATTTGTTTTTTATTTTTATTTTAGGGAAGAGGACAAAAAAACCCCTATAATCTATAAATTCAACACCCTCCACTTAAAATCAGTATGTTCTAAACAAGACTGGCATAAAAAATCCAAAACTGGCCTTTGAAAAGTCACCGCCTGCAAAGTAAAACAAATTTTCCAGCACTTTCTGTTTCTCTTTGAAAACGCATGTTAATCGCAGGTCTGTCTGTCTGCAGTCATATTGAGCACAGACTCACCTACTAAATTCAGTGTACAGTAAAGATAAATAGTTTGAAATGAGACAACTAATCAATGATACAATGATAACTGCACCTTTAGGGTTCAGAGCTGTTTCAAACACATGGAGCTGCTGAGGATTTTGAGTGAAGGTGAAGACTTTTATGAGCTCTACAAGCACAACAACTATCCTAAAAAGAGAAGCAGTGAAATTAAAATAATGTTATCAGTAAATAGCAGGGCTTTGTTATGATCGACTTAGCTTCTAGAGAAACAATAAGTCATCCATTGATCAGAATCAGCTGTTCATTTGTAACATACCTGTCTCTTCTCAGTTTCACAGCTTTGACGTCACTTGAAAAATCCAACTCAATGACACATTTCTTCTTCAAATCATCCCAGACCATCACTAGGATGAAACAAGATGCCAAATAAATAAATGGGGGAAATTTAACAAATACAATAGAGTAAATTAAACAGAGCGACCATTAAAACTTGTGATAAGGCACACTAATACAATATTATGAGATGAAAATAATAAATATATGAAATTCGTAAATTAGAACTGCAAGAACCAAGTAAATGACCAGCTTTCATGTTAGTTGCTAAATTGGTAGAGCAGTGATGATTGGGGGAGGTTAGCTCAGAAAAGCAAAAAACAGCGACTTAAAGATCCCTATAATTCTTCATATCATACAAAAGCCAAATTCAGTGATAATTTTAACCCAAAATATTTCTAAATTCAGTACGTTCAACTTTTTACCGAAAATATTTCTTAATTCAGTAATAATATTTCACCAAAAATATTTCTTAGTTCTTAAAGTCTTTTAAGTTTCAACCTTCTCATAGACTTTCTTGAAACATTTTCCTATTTCATGGGCAGGTTTTTTCCTTGCTGATACTCCTCAAAAAGCAAATGACATCCATTGAGCAATATTTTTTCCATAGCCTTGCAATCACTCCATTCCTTTGTAGTTAGTAATTAAGCAATTTCATCTTCACAGAGCAGTGAACTAGCTTTCACCAATATAATAGGTAGGAAGATAGCTTTTATGAAAATAAGTGGGGATCTGAAAAGCACTTCATCATGATTACATTTGAAGAACACAAACCCATCTTTGCAGGGAGCAATAACATGTGCAAGTTAGGAGACACTAAGGTGTTTCCATTGATTTTTTCCAGTAAATCTCATTTTGGACCAGTTTGATTTCCACCAAAAGTCACTTCTGTTATTTAAATACATTGCTTTAAGCCATTTTCCACGGCTGAAACTAACTCTATAATTGGCTAAAATTTTCTACTTCCTGTAGCAATACAGGTAATACAATTTGTTTTTCCATTTTTTTCTTTTTCCCTGATCATTCCTGCATAATTGACATTAATTTTTGATAGGGTTGTAAAGAAAGACTTAAAAAGTCAATAAAAAAAGGTAAAATATTTCTATTAGTATAGTTTACTGTTACCTTTATTTTTGGGATACTTGGGATTTTGCCCTCCTCCCACAAGTGCAAGATAGTTGCAACGAAAAAGCATCTCAACATAGCTGATGCCTCCATCAGGAAAATCTGTAAGAAAATTAACTATCAATAAACACAACTGGTTCAGTCTACAGAACTAAAGTAGCTAAAAAAAAATCCTCAATATAGTCTAGGAGATAGTCTGATGATAAACACAACCTAACTATCTAGCAAATAGTTCCTTATGTATGCCAGACAGACAGATTAAACTTAGAGTATTAACAACATGCCACCAGTATATATTATCACATCCCTTGTACAAAAATAGTTCAAGAATAAAACAGATCACATGTGTTAACTGGGTACTGAAAAAACAAGAAAAAACTTGTATGGTAAAAGGCACTGTGATTACTTTATACTTAAGAATTCCAACAATGGGGACACCGTTATGCCATGGAAACTAATGCCGCACTAAAAGACTGGTTGTAACGGGGTTGAGACATTCATTGTCATTCCATTCAGATGATTTTCTCAGTCTCTGTTGAGTATAAATTCTAAAGACGGAGAAGTATTACTAATTCTCCACCTGAATTTATCCAGTTTGAATTAGTGTCGTGTACAAAGATTTTATTTTTCATTTGAAATTTTTTGTCGTAAGCTTGATGCAACTGGTCTCCTGACATTTGAGGACAGCACCAACATCCCTCTCTCTGCCATAGGCACTGATCAGGGTGTAAAGAAAGTCAGTGTTAGAGCTTGCCTTTTAAGCATGCTGCAGTTAGCAAGTACTACAGGGGCATAGCCAGGATTTTTTAAGAGGTGCACACAATTCTCCAAATGCCCCTGCCCCACCCTCCCCCCTCTTCTAAAATGTTCCCAAACATGAGGTTACTGTAAGCCTAAGCATTTTAACTGTGTATGAAATGATGTAGATAAGTAATTTATAACATTCTTTGTCACCTATTTGGGTTCATTGACTGAAGCAATTAGTCAATCACTTTTCATAACTTAAGGCTACATTTACAAACGTAGATGAGTGAGTCCAAAAAAACTCCTGGTTTGGTCTCCAGTGATTTTGAATCCGAAATCGAAAGTAAATACTTTGTATCAAATTATTTTTAAATCCACGATGTTTTGCTGGATGTAGAAAAGACAATTCTTCCAACAAATCATGATACTTTACCTCCTTTGATCATAAGCATTTGCACTAAAACCACATTCATGTCACGTTCATGAATATAGAGTGCTTTAAGAATCACCTGTCAGAGATTAACTGCTCGATCCTGACAATCTTACGGAAAAATTAGGGAATGTGAACCTGTAGTCAGCTGCCAGCAAGCCCACTCCACCCCACCTCCAGCCCCACCCTGAGTCGGGGAGCATGTTAACAAGTACGCGTTGGTTTAATACCGACAGGCTACCAGAAATATGAAGTAAAAAAACAAATACTTGTAAACAAAAAACAAAAAAAGGGAAAACACATAGCAGCAACCAATTGTTTTATAAATGCTAACCAGAATGGACAGTAGCCTGCAGTAGAAACCTGAAAAGTTCCTACTGTTAATGCACTAGGCACTTATGCATGATTCTTTATGTTCGTAGCTCGTCAACGAAAACAACAATAAATAGAATACTCTATTGGTAAGATAATTTCCTGCCTTTCAGTTTTATTCAGAATAGCAAAAACTGCTTTCACGGCGTAACAACTCCAGATGCTCCAATAGGATTGCGTGACAAGCGCCATCAAAAAATGATGTTTTATTGTGTTAAAAGTCACATAAACTTTAAAATACTCGATACATTTAATGAATCATTCTGTTAGTGAAGCTATCAATTAAGATCATCCAGCATGTATTGTAAACAGTCTACAGAAAATAGGCATGTTTCGTCGATCAGCTGTGCTGATAAATCATTTAAATCACAACATATTTTTATGTCTGAAAAGATATTTTGTTTAGAAGAGGCAGGAACTTTGCACAGTGCTAGGATGAAAATATGCATTTTTGAGCCCTTTTCCCCCTAAGGCAAAGTGGATGTAAATTAAAAAATATTAAATATAAGTTGCTTTTGAAGGACAATAATTGTGTGCTTTACATCTTTTAAGGACCAATTTAATCCTGAGAAGTGACAAAATCATTGAAAGTGAAAAACTCTGAAGTGGTTACAAACTTGGCAATATGCACTATATTTACTCTTTGTCACTGCAAAAAATTGGCCGCCAGGCACTGAAGTGATTTCCTCCTAAAAAATTTTATTTGGAAGTATTTCCAAAAACTGATGTGGTTTCAATTACTTTTGAATCAAGATATATTCATGGGCAAAGTTTAAAAGAAACTGATTTTCTGACCCCAAACCCAGTGGACTAGTTTTTAGGAGACTCTCTTAATTTTGATGCATTTAAATTTGTACAAAAATCACTAAATTCACCAAATTAAAGTGTTGCTATCTCATACTTTGTAATAAGGTATCTACACCCCTGTACTAGCCCATGAGGTATTAAAACTAGCCTGATATAGCAGGATATATAATATTAATTAAATTGTTATTTAAGGCCTGGTGCACGCTACTGGTGTACACGGCTAAGAATCTCACATCGTTTGGCTCTTATGAACTTATTAAAACTCAGATCGCATCGATATTTGGCAAGAAGTTAAAGTTTATAAACAGCTTTTCATTGAGTATTTTTTTTCTGGCTGTAAGACCAAAATAAAATTGAAATATGAAAAATATGGCTCAAAATGGGACCATTTTTTAACAGCCCGCGTAACATTTACGGTCTAACCACGCATATTGTGGGATTTCTCTGTTTCTGTTAATGGTACTTTGAAAAAATTTCTCCGAAGAGGTCAGTGACTTATGAGTACTAACTGTATTAAAAATTAGTGAACATAATGGCAAAACAACAAAGTTTAGGGCGTTTTCAGAAAGATGTTCTGTCTACATACGATCTCTGTGCAGCGCGAACGTCAATTTAAAAGATTGCTTTTCATTGACTTTCTGTTGTTGTTAAGAAAAGAAATAATAATTTTTGGAATGCTCATAAGTTAAACCTTCCTTATAGACTAACTGTTAAGACTTCGGGAAACCCATTTTTACGCTAAGATCAAATATGTAAGGTTAGACAGCATTTCTTAACATGAAAAATTCGTAAACCGTGCGTTGGACCGAAAATTGGATTCTAGAGTGTGCTTTGGCATAAAGATTTTGTGCCTAAAATGTGCCTAAGATGTACATAAAGTGTGCATTTTAGTTTTGAAAAACGTGCCTAAGGCGTGCCTAAGTTGTGCCCAAACTGTGCCTAATCTGTGCACAAGTTGTGCCAAAATATTGAGTCACTCGGAAAATCTTGTCCGGCCTATCGAGCTCCACAGCGAACGAAAAGGGCGCACGGCAATTACATGTATGTCAGTTTTGAGGTTTACGAAGTCTAGAAACACGATCTGACGACATTTTTATCCCCTAATAAGACACAACATGACTCAGAATACGGTTAGAGACAGCAGGGAAAGCCCCGACAAACAGGAAAATGGAATCTTAAACAGGTTAGCGTATTTAAAGTAAGTGCTCAGCTCAATTACATTGTTGATATGCTAATTTCATCCATGTTAAAAAATTTCCCAGCAGGTTTCTTCTCCCCTTCTTAACGGAGCGTTTAGTTGGAACGAAATATTTGTTTTTTTCAGGAGGGCAGATTTGCATTCAAAAAAAGAATTTACTTTTGATATGACTTATAAAATGAAAACGAAAAAATTGATTGCGAAAAAAAATGATTGCATGCCGATGAGTTTTGAAAAACCGCAAAATAAATGGCACGCCTTTTATCGATCACAGTCTTCCAGCGTATTATTATTTTATCGACGATCCAAAAACTCAAAGCTTAATTTGCAAACAGAGCCAGAAAACAAAACACAAACAAGCAGCTTGAATTATTTTACTACTAAGTGTAAATCCTACTTTTTTAGTTAGAGAAATATTTTTAAAAAATCAAATTCGTCCCTTTTGATTCATTGAATCGTAAGAGTTTTGTATTTTTAAAAAAAAATCAACACGATGTTTGCATGAAGGTTTCAAATTACCACTTTGTACTTTTCACGTTGTTATGCAAATTCAGGCTAATTTTAAATCCTACTTTTTTAAAAAAGTATTTTCTATGACGTTTATTGGTTATTTTTTGTGCCTTTTACCGCTTTTTAGCTTTGTTTTTCTTTATTTTGTTTTTTCTTATTATGGCTTCGACTTTCTTCCACGATTTCTTTTAGAAACGAAAGAAAGCGAGTCTATAAAATTGCATGGCAATCGAAAAGGTTCAGACCGGCATATATCGCGTGTGAATTTCCACTTTATCCTCGGAGTAAACACGGACTGTCGAAGAATACTTTAATTTTCCAGACTTTCGGCGCGGCTCAAAACTTACACTTCCTATACTTCTAACTGTATCGTGTTTGATCTGAATTATTTTTGTAATTCGTACCAAGTTTGTTCTTTTTTGCAAGTCGGGTTACAAAGATTTTCAAAAAAGTGCCTTGCAGCGTTGAATATTTGTGCCTAAACCGTGCCTAAACCGTGCCAAAACTGTGCCCAAACTGTGCCTAAAATGTGCCTTAGCAATATTTAAAACGTGCCTTAACTGTGCCTAAAGTGTGCCTAATCTGTGCCTTGGCATGTTTTTTCCCGTGCTTTGGCACAAAAACCGTGCCTTTTCTTGAGCGCGAATCGTGCATAAGGCACGCTGTTACGCTCGTGTACACCAGTAGCGTGCGCCAAGCCTTAATAGTTTTTCTTTATTACCAGCTGTATTAATTCACTGCAGTAATAATTCCATTCATTAGATCAGCTTGAAAAACAGCTTTCAAACCACATGAATTTATGAGCAATATAAACAATTTTTTTTACACTACTTCCATAATTTGAATTTCCCAAAAAAATTCACTTGTCCATCGGGCAAGTTAAGAACAGAATTTACTAAAGCACTTTGCCTAGTCCCTAGGCCTCATATTACGCGCAGCCAATGCGTTTCGGGTCACGTGGTCCAAGAAAGTTTTTGAGGCCTAGACAAGCTCGGAGAAGTGAGACATTTTGTCTCACTTGGGGTGGAGCTTTTGGAAGCGGACGAGCTGTCAATAACTTTTCCGCGCTGACGACAGCAGCCATGGAGAGTACAGAGGATAAAGAGTTAAACCGAGCATTTCTATTCTATGCACGTTTTCATTGTTGAAAGTCCTTTGGCCTTTCTTTTTCATTTATCTCATTAAACTAATTTGAACTTTATTTCATCTCAAAAACTATTGTAGGCTAAGCAAAACAGTGTCGCAAAGAAATTATTTGATCAAGAATTGGAAGGTAAGCTAAAGAAATAAGTTTATATTTACTCTTGGATATGAAAAGCTATCTTTTGTTTCTCTATTTTCGCTTGCTCCTATAAATTTCTCGTTATCATTTCACTTTGAAATAATTTATGTAATTTAATTTTTGGATTTGGAAGCTTATCAAACTAATCGGATAGGCTGTTGAATTTGGTCTGTAAATTTGGTAGAATGTCAACAAACTACTGTTTCAAATCTTTCTATCAATAAACAAATGTCATTTTAATAGTTCATTTGAAAATGAACTAAAAGAGAAATTACTTGCACATTATACAGTAGTATTCTTTCCGATTCAAAGTAACATTTTTGTTCTTTGACAACAGAAACCAGGATAGTGCCAACCTTTAAGCGAAGGATATTCACGCGCAAAGTTATTTATAGATTATTTCAGTTGAACGTAGGAACTTTTCAAAAATGCTCACGCATGCACACTCCAACATTGTCTAGGCGTCTCCCCGCCCTTCGTCTCAGATACATCACCGAAATGCATTGACCGAGAATGGCCTGGAAAGACGCCGTATAGGCACTAGGCAATAAAGCACTCACAAAATCCACTAGCCACATGGGCTCACTGACATGACTTTCTTTGAATACTGGTACATTATATTACTTTCTGATTATATGAACGTAGACATTTCTGCTGTGGTGTCCAGGTTTTTGGACCCACCCTTTTAATCAAAATCTCCAGATTCTCAGTTCCTGCAGTTTGGTAGGTCTGTTATATAAGAATAACGTCCAGGTTTTGAATTAGCAAAGCTTGTTTCCTTCAGGAGATATAAGACTACTTTCCTGCCCTCTCGAGAGGGAAATCGTAAAATGGGTCTTTAAAAGTAGAAAAGTTTAACAGCTTAAAGCTAATACCTACTAATCTACTATGATGACGATAGCAAAAGATCAATTTAATAACCTAATTAGTACGTTGGAGCACCACTGATAATATCATACCTTGGCGTTCTTTTTCCTTCAAAGGATCGCAATTGTATATCCTAAAACCTTTTTCCATGCCACAGGCAAAACAACCTTATATTCAAAGAAGGAAGTATGCAACAATTGTCAGTCGAGTCGCATCATCACGACATAAGGTTACATCCATGTTAAGAATGTACCAAAAACACAATACCTTGGTCTTGATTGAAGCCTGCAAACAACAGCCCATTGCCATACGAATTTGCGTGGCTGATATTCATTCTCCTCAGATACCTACTAAATCCAAACGAGAAAACTCACACATTTTTTAACTTTAATAAGAGAACGGGAACAACTTTATAGTCTGCCATCTTGAATTTACGCACCCCACGTGATTGGTCCGACTAGTTCCTTTTAGAAGTATCCCAGAATCCAGTTGGAGTAACAATAACAAAGATGGCGGCCAATGCGAAGTGGAAATCTTGATGTATGAACATTTTAAACCGTTATTCTGCGTTATTTAAAGCTCGATGTTATGAATACATTTTAAACCGTTATTTAAAGCTGGGTGGTTTTGAGAGAAATGGCATGAATACCTGCCAACTCCTGGTAGTCAGAAAAATATTTCAAGCCCGAACGCCTGTGGACCACCGGATTGAAAAATGTGAGTTGTTGCCGTCTTTAGATCAAAAATGATGGTAACGAAAACCATATGTGAAAAAATTTTCCTCGAGATTTTGTGGATAAGAAATGGCAGTGGAGTGTTCATATAATGGCGTGCTGAAAAACGTACCACAGTGATACCTATAAAATATATGTTATAACAGGTGAATGTAAAGAATACATGAAGAAATATATGAACTGCTTGAAGAAAAACAACAATGACAACCATAAGTGCAGAACAGAGTCAAAGGATTACCTTCAGTGTAGGATGGACAGGTACCCTGTGAGATAATTTGGGTAATTTATTGATTTTACAGGGATACCAATATAAATAGATAAATGAATGAGTCAGTCAGTCAGTCAGTCAGTCAGTGAATGAATGAATGAGTGAATGAATGAAAGAATGAAAGAATAAAATGTAGGGGGCCCATGTACAGTGTGGGGCCATAAATCATCAAATTACCAAACGTGTCAACATTATTTATATACTACATTTCGAAGATTTTAAGAAATCCGTATCTAATCAAATTTTAACCAGCTTTTGCAAATCAGGCGAGAACAATGGATTTTCTTAACTGGGTAAGGTTTTTTAAAACCACCACACAGGGTAGTTTATTGCAGGTCTTTGAGTAACATAACTGTATCAATCAATCATCTTCACCTATGTGTAAGAATTTTCCACACAAGCACTACAGTTTCGACGATTCTGAAAACTACACCTTTCACCTAGCATCCAAGTCCACCTTTTCATTCTTAACACGATTATGTCTAGTCTTGCACTAAGTCTACACCTTGTTATTAGGAGCAAGGGGTAAAATTATGTCGCACGCAAAGTGAGCATTGGATCTGAACAGTAAAACAAATCCATGCAACTTTGAAGGTCTTGGGAAATTGAGTACAGTTGCTTATTTAAATAACCCAGTTAAACTATTCTAACCAGGTTACAAATAATTAGAGGAATTTTTTACCAGGTTATTAAAAAACTAAGCTGATTGCTAAGTTTGGCCACAGCGAATGTAAACTTGCAGAAAAAATTCAGCTGAAACACCTAAATAAATATTGCACTTAACCTTTAGTATCTTCGAATTTCAAAAAAATTATTTTGATAACTTTACCATCTTGAAACATTGTCAGAGACTCAGTATCAGTCGGTCAGGTCAGGAGGAATAATGCATGTGTAATGCCAATCCTCCTGTCCTGACTGACTGTCACTGAGTCTCTGAGAATGCGCTTCAGCTATATTTATTTACTATTTAGGTGACATGTTGAGAGTGATTGCTGGGACTATTCCCCTTACATGATACAAGTTAGAAATAGCAGTTACCGTAAAATTTCAAAATAAGCCCTGGAGCTTTTATTTTCCAAAGGCCCTTTTTGAGGGGCTTATTTTTTGAGGGGCTTATATTTGGAGGGGCAATATTTAACAGAGGGTTTTTTGCGTTACCAGCTTGGGGGGCTTATATGTGGAGGGGCTTATTTTCCGAATTTTACGGTAATCTGCTTCAGGTAAGAATAGCAAGAATGGCTATAATTTTATTTTACTGTTTACTTTGTAGACAACTTATGGCAAAGGAAGACTTTCGAAGACTTGGGTATTCTGAGGATTCCAGCTCAAAGGGTGATTCTGCAAATTTGGGAAACTAAAGAACTATGGAATATTTGTCAAGCTGACGGTAACTGTGACGGTAGCAGCTAGAGGTGCATAGTTTCTGTGTACCTGCATGGCAATGTTCCATTAAGTGCTCCACTTTTCCTTCATCACATTGGAGTGATTTATCATTGATTGCGGTATTATATGGTTGGCTCCATGAGTTGGCGATATGAAGCAAATCCTATGTTTTGACTGGCAGCAGTTACAGTTTTCACATGTGATAAACAAAAAATAGCTGAAAGAACATAAAGAAGGTTTACTTACTGGGCATTTGCATTGTTTTCAGCTTTTCCATAAATTACCTTTCATTCCTTTTCTTTAGGGAAAGTTCATTTAATATGAAATGAAGAACATAAAGAAGGTTTTTTTTAGAGCCCCTCCTTGGTAGTCTTACTGAAAAAGATCGGCTGTATTTTTACATTGTTTTCAACAAACTTGAGATACTTTTCCAAAGGATTTTAAAACAAGAGTTACCTTTACATTTGTTTTTCTTTATATAGTTTTTGCTATTTTGTTTTTATGATGTCATTGTGGTTTTGAAGTGAAATTTGCAAACAATTTTTTCAGAGCCCCCCCTCAATATCTTCATCCCCCCCTTGTCATATTAAATGAACTTTCCCTTAGTTTTCTATTTTGTTTTTCTTGTATTGATCTGCAACAACTTGGCCAATATCCAGCCATATTGACCTAATGTAATACTTGGTAATGACAACTGTAGTCTTTTGTACTTCATATTTTTCTGTTTTATATCCTGTTTGCTACTGTAGTCACACAGGCTTGTTACTAGATCCATACTCAGTCCATTTAACAGCTCTAAGATCACCAACATTTTTATGCTAATAAGATCACTATAGATATTAAAGAAAGTAAGTAATCCCTCGAGACCTTGAATTAAGAGTTTGTGCAACTTACTATTTAAGATACATGTACACTGTACTACGAAAGTTAGTCTACAAATACATAACCCAATATGAGCTTTCTTTGATAAATTAATGCAGTTGAACCTTTGTATTTTAACTGGTTGTTATGTTCAGCTTTAGCCACCTTGACCTTATTGTTACTTTGCAAAATTTACATCTTTGAAAATACAACTGATCCATCAACACTAAAAACATCATAAGTTTCATTTCTTACCTGATGAATCCATTTTATTATTTTAGGTGTCAATATATTTAGCTCAAAAAACATGTTACTGAGGACAATGTTTTTATGTTCCCTACTAAAGATAGTATTTCTATGTGGTCATCCTTATCATGCAGATTTCGAGCCATTTGTGGGGCAAAGGACTCGAGTGTTAGTCTTGCTCAAGAAATCAAAACTTTGACCTCCTACTTTGCAGGCCAGCGCTCTGCTAACTTATCTAACCATAAAGAACACTTTTACTGATGAAATGATGTCATTTAACTTTGCTAGACTGTTCCTAGCTCCTGCAAAGTTTTGAACATCTCTTGTCCTCAAATTGTGCTTTTGAAAGTATGCCAAAGCTCGGAGGAACGTCACTGCTACACTGGAAACAAAAACAATTGCAGTTCTGTTTAACCAGTGGGGTTTTCTAGGGGGAGATGTCAGAAAATACATAGTTCAGTAACAAATAAAAAGAGGGTGAGAGAGAGTGAAAAAAGGATAATCTTCCTGGTCCTCTCCTCCTCTCTGTTTTCCTCTGAGGTCCTTTGGCCAAGTTTTGTTTAGCTTTAATTCGTTTTCTTTAATAGTGGTGACCAGAACAACAGCAACAACAACAACCTTTATTATTACAGAGGCCCTGCCAGGGGGGGGGTGGGTCCCATGTATCCCATCTGAATTTTAAAACGTCTCGTGTCGGTGTTTATAAATGCTTGTCGCTTATTGTCGGCTTTGCCGTCACTGTCGCAATTTGGCCGAGGGAGGTTGTCCCTTGTCACAATTTCATTTTACGCGCTGTCGCTACTTTTTGGGCGATGTCGCTTTTCGGAATTTACCCTGGCAGGACCTCATTACATCCAACTAGAGAATGCTACATTTTTTCGATTGCTAATGGAAAGAAAAGAAGAAATTGTTTCAGTGATACATTATGATAGCAAGGATGTCTAGGAGCTAAATTAACAAACCTTATTTTTCGTGCTAACTACTAGCTATAAAATGATATTTTTAACACAGTGGTGACAGGTAAAATAGTAGCAAAGAACAAAACAACAACAAATTAAGTAAATAAATAACACACACACACACACTACACACTATATGGAGAAAAGAACAAATTAATATAGTCAACTTTCAAATTGTCAAATCGTTGTTTTAGTAAGCGTGGGAAGGAGAAATTTGGGAGGTCTTTGAATGATGGGGAAGATCTTTCCAGAGGTCAACAGCTATAGATTGGAAGAAGAGTGGCTCAAAAAGGATATGTGAATACTTTATTAGAGTTTCTTGGCATTCTTTATCTTGTACAAACTACTACTGTAATCTAACAGAACAATTATTTCCTTATGCAATATATGATTCGTAGTTGCTAAGGTTCAATAAATTTGCAGATTCCTTCTCAGAAGGATTGAATGATAAAATGCAGGTCAGTTTTTATTCCCTGGCAAATATGACACAGAATAAAACAGTATTTACCCCAATATTTAGCACAGTATATGCCCAATTACAACTCAATAATGTTATTCTCTTTTCACAGTATGAATATTACAAGCAGGATAATCTTTAATATAGGTAAAAATGTGCTACACTGTATAGTGACCTTTCATGAGTGTGGAACATAAGGTAGACACAGCATAAAAACAATGTACATCACTGTAAAAGCAATATGGTTTAAACAAAGGGTAAACCACTCCCAGGTGGTGTCCTGTACATTTCACTACACTGTACATGCATTGATGTGTCAATATTATCTCACTAAGTAAAGGGCTGTTAAAGCCTATATCAAAAATGACTAATGAAATTGAATATAAGGTCTGTGCTAAGTGATGTTTGATTATGGTAAAATTGTGTTTTTTATAGCATACTTAGGTTTCTGTAAGCCTGGAATAGGCCCTTTGCAGCTAGCCATTCACATGGTACAAAACCGCCATGCCAGCAGTTGCACTGGCCCAAGACAAATAAAAGGCATACATAATTTCAAATGGTAATTTCCTTTGTTTATCTTGTCCCAGTATGACTTTTGCTTTCCAGGATGGCGGTTTTGTACCACATGAACGGCCACCTGCAAAGGGCCTATAGTCAGATCATCATCATCATCAAAGTCATTAAACCACTATCAGCATTTATCAATGCACAGACCTACCATACTGTGTTTATGAGGTGTACTGTGCATTTTTAAGGCCATAATCAGAATACCCTAACTAAATTGAAAGCAGATGACAGTGAAAAACAAGAGTTTATACTATATTCTTCCACTTTCCAGTTAATACATCAAATAGGGAAATAATTTACAGGAAAAAAGTGAAAAATGCTAGATAGCACTATCAATCAGATAAATCACTATCCAGTGGATAAGAATTAGCTAAACCAATACTGCACTGGACAGAGATTTATCAGATGGATAACTTTATCCACCTTTTGAGGAACTGGGGCCAGATGAGGGGATAATACTTCCCAACCTGGAATTAATACCTTAGTGTTTAGACTAAAGAAAATGCTTGGAAAAAAAATGCTAGTAAAACAAAATTGTCAATGTTAATGTGTATATATGCATATAATGCCCTTCAAATAAATGTGCTAAGTTTTCACCTAAAATTTTTAGTATAAAAATGTGTAAATTTTACAATACAAGAGAAAAGACCTGCTTTGACAGGCTATTTGCCATCTTATTAAAAACTAAAACTTGTCTTTGCATCAATTGAATTCCAAACATAATGGTCCTGCAGTCCTGTTATTTAAGATGACATTTAGGCATTAAAACTGTTTCCCGTCTTCTGTTGCTATGAATGGCAAGGACAAACATGGATTTGAAACTTGAAAACATTGGGCCAAGTTTTCCAACTTGTAATGCACCAAAAAAAGTATCATGGTTAGTGTTCCCTGGTGATATTTGTCTAACATCCTAAATATACAGGAGTATTTTCTTGAATGGGTAAAGGTTTTAGGTAATAACTGCACAGTAGCACTGAATTGACCTAAATGCAATATTCTTGTGACAAAAGCCTTTTTAACTGGACACCTACTGTTTGATTTGTCTCTTCTACTCTACAGTTATTTTTGACTCTATGTTAAGTAAGACTTACAAGCACTGGTCACAGAGTCTATCCTTAGGAGAGCTGATTGCATATGCTCCTTATATAAATTCAATTCCTTCAAACTTATTGTCACCAATATGGGTCTCAGGCATGATCATTTTTCCAGAAATATCATAAGCAACAATGTAAGAACGAATAGTTCCTCTGTCTTCTTCTGTCTTGAGAGCCACAAATAATTTATCATCAGTTCCTGGAATAAACTTGAATGATGAAAATCCGTGAGTCAAATTAAGTTCACCAATGGTGCGCACATGGAAATTTGTGAAGTGCTCATCACAGGATATCATGACGTTGGTTGCACAATGTTCATCATCTTTTTCATTGTAAGACTCATGGCTTGCTCTCCTTGGTAAGAAAAACCACTTCTTATGTTTGTCACTCCAGTTTGCTGCCTCATGGATAATATACCCCGGGTACTTGATACCAAGGGCCCCTCTCAAAGCCTCATATCTGGACACCCAATCATGATGCACCACATCACCATTAGGCCCTATACTTTTAACCCATTGTGGGTTATGATTTTGGAAAACTCCTTCTGTTGTTGTCCATTCTTTTCCGAGGCCTCCAACATAGAGAGTCTTTCCTTTAACTACCATCCATTCCGCTTTAAAACCCTTCTCCTCCGTTCCATCGCCGTCCGGTAAAATCACCCAAGCAACGGTCCCCTTGTCTTTAATTTCAAACACAACTCCAGTGCGATCATCAACGGCATACAATTTTCCATTAAAAACTATTAGTTCTGACAGCTCCATCCCTCTTCCTTTCTGAGACAAAGTAGAGGATAATACTACAATATCTTCATCCCATTCCACAGTTACCTGACCACTCTTCTTCAGAGTCAAGTAGCCCCGTTTGTAATGACTTGTCCACGTGTTCTTCTTTGAAGTCGATTTGGAGTTTTCATCAAGATCCGCTATAATTCCAATTCTAAACCTCCTTCCGTCGGACGTAACTTCTGGATGACTAAGTGGATATGTGCTGTTGTATTTCCTTTCACAAGCGGTTCTGTGGTAATAGTCGATGCTTTCACTGTTGATTGCAGTACCTTCATAGTCCGGATTGCCAGAGAACCACCAGTATAAAAGTGCAACACTGAAGCTTAAAAGAACTCCTATAAAAGCACATTTTCGAATCACCTGTTGTAAATCGCTAGGAGTGGAATTTCGCCGGTTCATTTCGAAAATAACGCTAAGTTCGTGCAAAAAAACAAACAATTTTCAAGCGTCTCAAGCTCCACTAATCTCGTTCCCAGGGTCTTCCTCCTTTCCACAGAAAAAGGGGAGCGGGGGCGGGGGGGAGGGGGGAAAGACGGAGATCTGGCGCGCGCCCTGGATGCATGCGATATGAGACGTTAATCCTACGGACTAAATCCACGGAAGACTCAAAAATCGCTCATCTGTACATTACTTAATCAAAACTGTGCGGTCTCTGCATAATTCGTGTGACGCCAAAATAGTTTGTAGTCTACAAATCAACTGAATCATCCTATGCAATGTACTGTCCCGGGGACCCGGGTGTACTGGAGCGCTAGGAACATCGACACACTGTCAGCACTGTCAACTGATGCAGGCTTTTCAGGCTTTTTACCTTCATTTCAGAAAGGAAAGGTCTATTACAGCAAGTAGCACATAATGAAGTGTCTGCATTAGCGAGGTTGACTTTCGATGACAATCCGTTGATTGGGCAAGAAACTAGAGTCCGTTGTACGCACTTACCGGGCCTCAGTTTGGGCTAAACAAATAAAACTGTCCGTAATGATAGGGGGTGGGGGGATTAAAGCCAATCAGAGAACTCCTTGTAAAAAGCTGCGTGTTATCCGCTGAAAAACTGTTCTGTGCATCATTATCAAAGTGCACTCCGTGAAAAGCGAACTGCCAAAATCCTCGATTGTGTACAAGATCAATTGAAGAAAACAAATCTTTAATTTGGTCAAATAACCCTAATAGGACAATTGCACGATGACGATATTTGACTACAGAGTCTTTTGATGTAACTTCACACACCCAACACGTGGTCGAGATGAAATGTCAATTACTATTACACTACTTTTCGTGCAGGTGTTTCGTGATTCGTGAAACTGGCAAGACTGTTGTTCGTGGTGTGACGAAACCGCCCCCCCCCCCCTTCCTCTTGCGCCCCTCTAATAAAGAGGTGTCCGTATTAAGTGGGTGTCCATAAAGCAGGGTTCGACTGTGTGTTTTGGAAGCGTTAATTTAAAAAGTTGAAATCAGTTTGATTTCCAGTGCTGAGGACAGACCTGACAAAGAGTTAGCCGATGAGGTCATACCGTGGAACTCCGCTATAACCAGCTGACACGTTCCTACGCCAAAAGAATGTCTGCGTAGAAGGCTAGCTAAACACAGGATAAAACAAACGGATTTTTTTACACATTGTATTAGGCTTTATTTTGAAATAAGGCACGAAATTTTATTCAGTGATACAGTTTGCGAAATAGTAGTCTTAGCCTTGCAGACTCTAATCTGCCCCTCCTTGAGAGTCTGTACAAATTTTCTCGCGTCGATAGGGCTCCGATAGGGCTCCGATAGGTTTCATTCTATAGCACCAGGTCATTTTCACGATGACGATATTTGACTACAAGTAACAGAACTCATTTCGTTCTTGCTTCCTTACTTAAATTTGTCAGTCCCACTGAGAGCCCTAGTTTGCAAAAGAAAACAACAAACTGAAGGATTCTGGTAGTTGTAGTAAGATAAATATCATCATGCAATAGACCTTATTCGAGATACTTACCATTTTTGCACGCACTCTAGGATCGATGTGATAAAAGCAATGTCACGTGGTATTTCATGGAGCAAACAAGTGATAAAATTTGCCAATACAAGTAATTGCATTGTAATCGCATTAGTTTTTCACTTGTTTGTCCCCTGAGAAACCATGTGATATTACTGCTTTTATCTCATGGAAAAAAGCTGACATTTTTTATTAATTAGAAAGATCAATGAAAAGACAATAATATCTCATTCATTGTACAATATTTACATCTCATGAAGACTTATTTACAGCCTTTCTAAAAATTAGAGTTTGCCAGGACTTGTACTGTAGTGGTTAATTAGTGTACGACATGTTGGATGTGCAACCAAGGCAACTATATACATAGATTTCTTATATATGAGCAAAATTTGATGAAGTAGTCAGCTGGAAAATTAAACCATAACTTAGATCTTGATTTCGACTGTCTTTAAAATCCATCTTTAAGAAAGGAGGACAGTGTTTATAGCAGGGACAGTAATTTAGAAAACAGACAATAAAGCTAGTGTTCCTTTCCATCTCCCAGTCTTGTTTTTCTCTTTGCAATAAATTGCTGCTGAATTAGATTGTGAAGTCTCTGGGCCTAAAGGGAGACAAACTGAATAGTATTAGTATGAGTTATGATACGACTTAGAGTTCAATTTGGAACTTATTTGAACCAGTGTGTATTTTCAAAAGTTTAAAAATTTTATGAGCCTGTCAGGGGCAGTTTGAGCTTTTTGGAAAACACATGAGTGGAAATAATTCAAAATTGAAGGATCAAAGTCTTCTGATTACCCTTTAATAATAGACATGAAGAAATTAAATTGATCAAAATATGTCCTCAACAAAAACGTGTTTCTGATCCCTAAGTTGATGCTAGGAAAAAAAAATTTTGTTCGGTTGTCAGTGTTATAGAAAAGAGTATAAAAAGTCATGTCTGCATTTTTTTTGACTGAGTTTGTTTTTTTTTATAAATATAAATTAAATTACCAATAATTATTGATTTGCACTCTGGTTCCGTATGCTTTTTGCAAATCTGACAAAATTTATTGATTTAAAATAGCAGTATACTAAAAACTATATACCTTAAGAGGCCCAAATCCTGGAAGCAATGCAAGGTCATCCTTTGAAGCTGTTGTCATGTTAGCAAGGGACTATCAAATAACAAATATTTGCATAGTTATCATGAGTTGAAGATGAAGTTGTCATCCTAGTATATAGTTGTCATCCTAGCTATATATTATTTTAAAATGCTTACCCCAAATGTGGAAGTGAGAGAGACCACGTCAGTCTTGTTGATACCCTTCACCGTAGTCAGACAGTCTGTGAGCTATTAAAGAAACAACCTTGTCAAGAATGTGGAGTAATATAACAATAATATTATATTATTGCCAAAGAATACAAGTGAACTGTACAGCACGCTACAGAAATTAAGCACTACCTTACTGAGATAATCGCCTTCAGTTTGACCAAGAAGGGCATCTGGTGGCTTGTTTTCATAAACTTTGTAGGTTTCAAGGTATCTTCCAGCCTCCTCAGGACTATGACAATAAACACACATTATTAGAAGTTAAATGTGGTTTCTGCAGGATTAGGCTGATTTAGTCAACACAATAACATTTTTATCCTATTAGTCCTAATATACTAATGTATATTTCACACACAGTTGATACTGATGAAGAGGACATGCTCAGCAATGAATTTAAAACCTTTGACACTTTTGATCATTGTCTATATAACAGCCCATCAAGATTAAGTGGTCTGAACTACCCTGTAATTAAAAGTATCTGCCATCAATTTATCCAGTATGCCATTCATTCTGTTCAAAATGCAAGTGTAAAAGCCACCCAAGATCAGATTGAAATTCTCAGGTGATGATGTTGGAAGGCTGTTCTCAATTCAATGGAACCAGAAGATATTTTATCACTGCTTTTATCCTACAGTGTTCTGATTCAAATGTGATTTTGCTTAAACAATCACACAACCTTCTACTTCCAACAAGTAACAAAGACTCAGCTTTGACCATTTGATGCTAACATTGTTATGATATATCTGTCTTATGTGATTGGCCAGGGTTAGTTTGGTTTTGTTTATGCCAAAACTCTTCTTAAAATCAGGTTTAATTTTTAGTGACCTCCAAGCAAGAATGAGGGTACAGTCAGCCATCACCGCCATCTTAGCAAGCTCTCTTAGTGTCTGGTGAGGATCTTTCTGAAAAAAAAAGGAGGGTACAGTCAGCCATGACTGAAGTCATTGAATACAAGAAAAACATTTACCCAACATTGCAAGTGACGTCTATTAAGGTTCATTCCTCATAGCGGGCATCTACAACTTACAGTAAACAGTTGGCTATCTGTGTGTACTTACTACTGTTTTCCTTGACTTTAATTTTCCCTAAATGCTTGGAAGAATTATATTTTATTCCTAAACTGCTGCAATTTGTGTGATGACTACATGTACATTCAAAACCACAATTTAAAGTACTCAAAATCTATCACTATGGTGCAGAGAGGGTTGTAAGAAAGAATTTGTTGCACTTTGAGGTTACCAGTAATTTAATAAGTTAAAATTTTTAGTACAAAAATAATTGCTAAATATACATAGTGTTATTAGAGCATAAAAGTGTAGTTAACTGGTCAGTTTTCTAGTTAGTCCCAAGCCTTTTAATTTCTAGTTTTAAAACAGTTGAAAAGAATATGCTGTAAAGAATCCAACCAAGTTATTGTCAGATATACATAACAAAGAATATATGTAATTATAAGGAGAAAACAAAGAAAAACAGTCTCTTGAGTCTGCAGTGTGGGAAGAATAAAACTGTGCTTTTAGATGCTTTGAGAAGAAAAACATAATTATATTATATTCAAATATTTGAGGTACATAGGGTGATATTACCACAGGTCAATAGTCCAGTTTAAAATTCAAAATTGATGCTGAATACAAACATTAATGACACATTCATAAAGGGTTAGCCTCAACATAAAGTAAAATATTCACAAATTCTGGCAATAAGTGTTTGAAATTTGAAAAATACACAACAGACAGAGCAATAAACAGGTCTTCTTCTAGTTGGAATTTGTGAATATGTTAGTCAGGTCAAAATTAAATTCAGGTTAAAATTTGTTAACCTTGGATGATTTTCTATTTTCTTTATCTCCTAGCCCTGATTATTCATGAATTAGGGCTAGGAAACAAAGGAAATTGATAATCAACCTAGGTTAAATCAAAATTAACCTGAAGTCAAACTTGATCTGTAACAAATGTATTAATCCAGGTGGAGGCTAAGCCTGTAAAAAAGTGCATCTTCACTTCTTTCATTCAGCGATCATAGCTAACTTGAGAATGGACTATTGCCATTAATAATTATTATTGTCAGTGTTTGCCTATAATTTTAAATTTTGTCACCAGATTTATGGCGATTTTCACTGCCTACATATCTTAAACTGTAAGTATGCATGCACATTCCTACATATAGCATAACTTGCCCCTTCAATAAATGTAAAACATTCATTCACAACAAATTTAGTAAATACTACTTAAAATTAATCCTACTGCCATACCACATCTACTTGAACCAGAAGTATTCTTAACTCAAATCTCTGTCCCAACTGCCTTAGTCTTTCATGAATGTACTCTGGATTGAAATGATGGTACCTTAAACTGCAGAGAAATAAAACAATGAAACCTTTTTTTTGGTCAAAACGAAAACAAACAAACCAAAACAAAAAATATGTTCTCTTGGCTTTATGTCCATTGCTGATTTTCAGCACAGTTTTAATTTATCAGTTCTCTTTCTGGCACGTCAATAACTTTTAGCTGTTAGTAGAAAGTAAAATAAGTCCATACATGTACCTTAGGAATAATGCACAAGTTGTAGCACCCAGAACATAATCGGGAATGATGTCACCCATCTCCCATGGGACATTCCTGACATGCTTAAGTACTGGATTTCCTTTCTAGAAATTTGGTAAAACAACATAAATAAAGCACAGTGATAAAGGCTCCTTACACTGACACATACACTTTTTAGGAAATGCCAGGGTGCAAAGAAAATTGTTTTTACAGCTTGCCATTTGGGCACTAGCCCAGACGTCATTTCAACTAGCCCCAAAAGCTTTTTTATTGATTTCACAGTTCTCCTGTTATTCCAATTCCTCAAAAAACATCACTTGCCCGTCAGGCAAGTTAAAAACAGAATTCACTTGCCCGATAGCAAAATCCACTAGCCCCGGGCTATTGGACACTACTTTCTTTGCATGCTGAACGCTCATGGGAGCAGCTTCCTGGCCTGTATTACAACATCATTTATCATCATTGTTCTTTGACTGCCATCATGATCAATACTGCTCTGTCTCACTTACATTACCAGGATTATTTGGCATGAAAATCAAGCATATAAATTCTGCTACCTGTCTAGATGTGAAAGAAAACATTGCTTTGGACTAAGTTTCAGCAACTGAAAAATCTAAACAATTTTTTCCTGCCGGGTCAATCACTTGTACAGGGACCCTAAACATTACTAAACAGTGCTCTTTTGGGAATTACCTGTCTTGGATTTACAATAATTGCATTACTTTTTGGCTTATTACTGACTGGACCAGGAAGAACTCTGGTATCTATAGTTGATCTGCAAGGGAAGAGTGGTGTTAAATGCAAGAACACAAGAGAGAAGCCTCTTTATCAAATTACACAAACAGCTGTTTTTCTGCTGCAGCAGTCCTCAACATCCTGCCGCTGGGGAAACCAGTTAACCTATAGATATCATTTCTCATTTCTGATAAAAGTTTTTCAGAACTTGTTCAATTAAGTAGCTAATGCCCTTCTTTTAAGGCTTCATAGAGTGTTCACTTTCCGGAAGAAGAAGAAACTACACACTAAATCTGGACTGCATAGCAGTACTTTGTTGCTTTTTTAGAAAACCTGAGTTCTTCCATACATTTTCTGTAAACGGACAACAAAACAATTACAGATAATGCACGAAAGACGTCAAATTTTCCAAAAAGCGACAAAGGACTGCTTTGCACTCCACATTTAGTGCATACTTTCTTTAAGTTCATTAGTTAAAGTTTGCAAAGAGAAAGTGACTAATACATTTAATTAGGAAGAATTAGTGGACTTTGAATTCCCATACAAACTCTTGAATTCCCCCCCTCCCCTCACGACCATAAAGGGGTCTATTAAGTTTTAGTAAAATCCAACTAGTGATCTATTATCAACGCTGCATTCCGATTGGTTGAGCTACTACTGGGCAATATGTTAAAGCCCACTAGTAGTGAAAAGTGCCCGCTTGGAAAACCAAAACAGTGGCGTCTGAATCATGTTTTGCTAGCTAAAGTTGTTTTGTCTCAATATTTTTGACCAACTGTTGAATTTTACTAAAACAAATTATTATTCCTCTTGCCCTCATGGCCTCTCGGTCAATAGCCCATTTGGCCCTCAGCCTCATGGGCTACTGACGCAGATCCCATTAGGGCTTGAGGAATAATTGCTAAATATATTTCTTGGTGGTGATTTCATTGGTGGTAAGATGGCTTGGTGGCGAGGTGACCAGATACTGAAATTGTAGCTTGGCGAGGTTATGGTAGGTAAATAGACCAGTTATAACATACTCTTTTTCCTTTATCTTTGCAACCGTCTCTTTGTAGTGACTTGTATTGTCTAGGAAAGCAAACGTTTCACGAAAAGTCTTTCCTACAACAGCAGGTTTAAGAGTTCCACTGTCACTTGCTGATGGAAGGCTGTTCTCAGCAGGACGCAGAGCTTCCTTAACTAAAGATTCGTGATTTAGCATACAGTTGTCCTCTACAGTTCTTTGTCCCAAATCGTTTTCTTTACGAGACTCTACTAAGCTTACTTCTTTTTGGATCGTTTTCAGAGAGCTTTCAGTATTGTCAAGATCATTAGCACGACCAGCCCTCGGGAAAGAATCATCTGTTGTTTCCTGACCACTTCCAGTGGATTTCTTGTAAACATTAAATAACGATTTTGGCTTTGACACTTCGTTTCTCACGTCCAAATCATCCACAGATGGAACCGTAAACTTTCTCTTGTTTGCCGCCATTTTGAATTGACGCACAAGCGACAGGCGAAGTACTGGGAACAAGTGCTGCTGGTCAAACAGTAGGCGGGCGCGTCTGCCGTGGAGGAAACCAATATGGCGGCGATGTCTCGAAGATTTCTGTCGACTTTTGTTCTGCTCTTTTTACTTCATGGTGAGTTTCATATTAAGTCTCCCCCCTCTTGAAATGGGTTTCACAAGGTGGCTTTATTCACGCTCTTTGTTGGAGTGACTGGGTTTCGTTCTCAAAACATTTTCATGAATTAGGGTCTTCCTTGAGCAAGATCAAGAATTTAGCAGCAAGGTGTTGAAAATTCAAGATCTTTCGAGCAAGATGTGGAAAATTTAAGATCTTCCTCAAGGTTTTATAAATTCAAGGTCTTACAGCAAGTTGTGGAATTTTCAAGATTTTGTCTCTTAACATATGATGATAACTCACTGTTGTAATGTGCAAAGGATAACTCACCAAATTAGCAGTCCCCTTGAGGTTAACTTTCGTAGTTACAAAAAGAACAACAGTAGCCTGAATTTCAGCTGTACCCTCAAGTCATGATCATCTCTTATAGTTTACAAGATAGAATTCTTATAAAAATACAAAGACTCGATTATCCGTAATTAAAGATAAACAACCATTTTGTTCTGTCGTCCCTGTACATGTTAAGCGCTGACGGTTGGTGTGAATTTTCGCTGTAGTGCAAATGGCTATTTTTTATGTTTCGCGAGAAATAAATCTTTTTCTTGAAATCCTTTTGAGTCATGAACACTCAAAAATGCTGGTTTCTGGAAACTTGAAACTTGATTCGTTCAAGCTTCGAGACATGAGAATCAAGTCTCAAATTTCGAGTCAAGACTGTCAACTTACTTTTGAGCGGTGCTGTACAGATGTAGTTCAATTTAACAAGTCATAGTTTTGAAGACATGGGCTGTTTTTGCTGTTTATGATAAAGATGGCTGGAATTTGAAGTCCACTTGATAATGCAATCTACCCAATATCAAATGACAGTCTTGCTAAAATTTCTCATAATTATCCATACACTGCAAATACAGTGGAACCTCAATATAACGAAGGCCAAGGGCCGGGGACTGGCAATGTTTATTCAGGGAGTAATGCCACTGGATGGCATCAGTGGCTTACTGATTCAGATGTTTCTCTCGGGAGTATCCGAGGAGACAGCTGAAATTAAGGCCACAACAACAAGTAACTTTATTTAATGCAAAGGAAATACATAATACTTGTACATTCACACTATTTATATTTAGGAAAAGCTATTCAGGGCAAGCAGTTTGGGGATACTATATACTGTCACAACTCTGCATTAACTCACCATGCGTGTTAATATTAAAAAGGTTTTGAGAATGATACATTTATCACCATTTTATGACTATGTGAAAAAAGGTTATGGTCTGGTTTGTAGGAACAAGACCAGGAAAAGTAAAAATTGTTGAAGAGCCAGCTGTCTACAGATCTGGAATGTGAGTATTACTACAACAGCTTATCAGTTTTATAATTAAATTATTATTTCTTTCATGTAAAGTCTGTTAATTTATTGCATTATTACATGCAATATGTAATAAATAATTTGTTATGTCCATAGCAAAAATAATGCAGATTTTAAAGCCCATGTTAGTGGTACATTCACAGTAATATAAGACATTTCCTTTCATCATTCAATATCTTGTTTTGTAAAGCTATTAGAGTAGGACGTCGATAACTAAAACTCTGAAGGGAAACTAAAACCAGTTCAAGTTAGTAGAGGTTTGAGTTATCGGGATAGATTGAATTATTCAATTTGCCATGTCATGTTAATAGTTACTGATTTTTCAGCACTTCGGTGTATAGTACAGTGGAAATTTCACTTATTTCATCAGAAATGGTAACAGTCATTGTAATGCATTCTTATGATATAACAGGATCTGCTTGTTGCACCAATTAAAACAAATTGCTGGTAGTGTCAGTTTTAGTGTTTTTACCAATTGTATACCAAAAGAGTTGTTAGCGGCCTGGCATCTAAGTGGGGTTAGTTATACAAGAACCAGAATTCAAGTTATTGGGGTAAATTTCAGTGAAATTTTGATCATGGAAAGGAAATTAAGTTCAAGTTAGAGGGGAAGTCAAGTTATCCAAGTTTCGAGTTAACTGAGTAAAAAAAGTGAAAAGTGAGGTGAAATCTAAAGGAATTGAGACTTTTTTTTAAGTTGTCCAAGTTCAAGTTATCGAGATTCTACAGTACTTTACAGTAACTTAAAAATTATTATTTGATTTGCCAAAAATGGGTCTTGTTCCAGCAAAAATAAGTATAAGGCAATGTGTCTTGGGCCTACCAGTCACAATGTGTGGTATTTCAAGCTTTATTAGCCTAATTAATTGTGCCTAAATGCTATTGAAATGGGTTCTAGTGCCCATTTAGAGGGTGTGTTGTTTTAATAAACAAAAACTGTAAGTGTGAATAGATTAAGTCACATACTCATGTCATGATATACCAACAGAAAATAAGTGCTAAACTAACTACTTTGTTTATTCTCTTAAGGAACAACTTTTATCAGCCAGCAGGTAGCCCTACACAAAATGATAACAAGGTAATAATTATTCAAAAAGCGACTGACTTATTACTAAGTTGGTGACATTTATTGAAAATATAACTTGTCAACAATGATTTATAAATCAGACAAGTCTGTTTCAATTACATAATTTCGGCAACTAATTTTCCTTATTGGCATTAATGTCTGGGCATGCTCCCAAACCATGAACATCAATACATTTTTGCAGCTGCTATTTTGCAGAGTCCTATCATGGGCTCCTTTCATGACAAGACTCACAGATCCAATTCAACTCCGATAGTTGATTTCCAAGATTTAATATATGTGGTCGGAGTTACTAAGCCTGTAAGTGATATGTGTGACTACTGCATTTGTACTGAAAATAAATCAAAACATGACTTGATGTCGCTGTAGAACTTCAAACAACCACAAAATAGTCCACTCAACTCAAGCACACCCACTTCACCTGTCAAAATGCAGGACATAAGAAAAGAGGAAAAATTCCTTTAGCTGGGCACTCTTATCTGCTGACTCTCTCAAGGTCATTAGGGATATTTAGATGCCACGATGGGGATGGTGGCAAAAAACGTTGCTTACAAAGTGACTTTGCATTCCTTGAAACATCAGCATGATTATTCCAACTCTCTCACTTCATCAAACATTGACAAGTTTCCTGGAGTTGAATTCGTAAGAACCATCTGCACATTCAGAAAGAGAAAGAAAAATTTGTGGTTGTTTATTTCTGTTCTCCATGAAATCTGAAATTTGCCATGCAATGATGGCAAAAAAATACACCAAAAAGTGAGATGACATGGATGCCTACAATTCTCTGATTCCTTATTTGGGCAAATAAATTTCTATGCTTCTGATCGAGGGCAAAAAAAAATCAAGCATGCTTCTTAACCGATAAGGAGAAGTTAGACACTTCAGGGTTATAATAATGTTTCTGGTTACAGAATAGAAAATCACTCTCATGATAAACTTGTCAATGAAATAAAAATTAATGATCACTGACAGTGATTACATTTTATTTATTTACTTTTCTTTGTTATTTGTAGCTTGTAGCCAGAGTGAAACCTAGTCCAGTTTCAGGTAATTTAAGTAGTCTTTTGTTCTAAAATGATCAGAGTACACACTTCTGCAATCTCCTTTAGATGTTGCTTTTAATGACCACCAACTAATTTTCCAGTCCTTCACATTTTCTTCATAAAATAGTTTTTGTAATTTATTATTGGAACTGAATTAAAGCCCCTTAATATTTCAATAATTATTTCTCCTAAAATGTGACAGCAGAACCCTGGTAAATCTAACTTGGATAACTTGAACTCACCTGCTAACTCAATTTAAGTCCATTTCCCTTAGATTTGACCCCCGTTTATCAGTCATTTGTACTCTGTAAACTCAAACTCCGATAACTCAAATTCCCTGCTACAGTGTAACTAAAACTTAATTTCTTTTCCGTTGATCAAAACTTACCCTGAGAAGTCAAATGCTTGCTCTTTTGACCCTCCCTGGATGGGTTAATAGGACAGTACGCATCATGCCTAAGTAATTGGACAGTACGTGCTATCACACACACTTAAATGGCTTTTTTTTTTCACTGCTAGCAAAGTAAATCTCGGAATTTCTTGTGTTTTGATTCAAAAAAAGAGCCTAATATATCACAAATTTTGTCAAAGTCATGATTAATTGGTAACAGAACTTTGTGTCGTCCAATTCGGTCTGTAATCATTCTCGTGATTAAACAAATCGGACTCCCGCTACGTGGTAGTCCAATTTTGTTAATCACTCGTATGATTACAGGCCGAATTGGACTCCACTCAGTCCCTTTACCATTACCTATTGGCTTTTGTGCAAGATTTTTTCCTTCTTGAATTTACCAGTGTATGTACATAAATCATAAAATGTATAGTTTGACTCCTACAACTAACTCTTTTCTGATGCATGACTTTTTATTACTGTACAGGTCCAACTCATCTTCAAGTATTAGCTGGAAAGTGTTTTTCCTTAATACATAATGGGTAATGATTTTATATAATGCACTTTCGTGATTTTCAGATACCCTGTACTTTGACAGTTTTTATCTCATTATTTTATGTTCTTTTCAGCTACAAGTATGAGTTCTGTCCATTCCATAATGTTACTCAAAGGGAACAAACTGCAAGGTGGAATGCATTTGCAGGGATCTTAGGGTAAGAGATGCATGAAAGTACATAAAACTGGAACCAGCGTTGTGTTCTAGCTACCTACCAAAATGTCTTGGCTCTTGTTTGGCTCAAAAGCTTGTTTCCATGTATGAAAGATTTACAAACAATTACTCTTTGGAGAAAATGACCTCTACTACCACACAGGTAGCGTGCAGACCAATAATATTGCCTCTTTTTTCGTGCAAAGAGTGATTTGTAGTATTCATTTCTTTGATTATAGAACCAAAAGATCTTAACTTGTTTCCAGGTTTTCATTGATGGGTCAGACAACATTTTAGTCACAATTCACTCCAAAGTAAATGCAAACTAACAAAAATGTTTTGTTTCTTTTGGCCAGTGTGTGGAGAGAGTGGGTTATCCTCAACAACACTTTTGAAGCCATGCTTTTAGCAAATGGTGATATGTGTCCAGGCAACATACCACGACAAACCAAGGTACAGTCCAAAACTATCATGATTCACCTTTTTATAACCTTCACTATCTCAAAACTGTTTAATACAAAATCTACATTTGAACTTGTGTACAATGTCATTTTTATGAATATGTCTGGGATACTTCCCCCAATCCATAAAAATTTGATTGCAGTTGAACCTCCATGTTCAACTACCTCCCATAAGTGACTGAAACACCACATTTTTCCTAGTAAAAGCCCTGTAGTTAGCTTGTCTCATAACAGACCACATGTAGTACAGAATGACCACAGCCACTTTTTGTGGTGACAATTTTATAATTTTCCATTGTTTTTTTCTTACCTCCTTTAAGCAACCACTTGATGCCTGGTGTGATGTTTTTGTTCAGTGTATGTACATTTACTGGGCCACTTATAGTATACAAAGAACTTTCAGTGGCTGCGTGGAATTACACATGTCATAACTTAGAAATTGTATGCAATTAATTCACTTCCAACAGTTAGATTTGTCTGGACAGCCTCTTAGAGACCCCCAGTGGGTCGATTCTGGAGAGCAATCACAAAATCTTTGCATTTTGGTTACGGTAGATTAGGACTGTATTTCAATACCTTCCATAGTAAGTCTTTGATAAATTAATATTATGTACAATTTTTAGGCATTTCTGAGATGTGGAGATGTTAACAAGGTTATTTCAGTTGAAGAACCCGCTATTTGCCATTATGAACTGAGATTTGAGTCTCCTTTGGCATGTCCTATAGATGCTTTCCTAGGTGAGTTTCAACGCCAAAATAAGTACAAGTCATGAAATATAAGAAGAAAAATTGTGGCTGAGGTTACTGGAGGAGCTTTATAGCTGTGCTGTACTTCTCACTGTTAACTGTTGCTGGCTCTTAAGATTTTTCTGGGAATGTTTTTTGAGGAGCTCCCTAGCAAAGGTTTGACTTTATTTCTTTTTGCACTTTCGACTTGTTTTTTAGTCCTCAACTCATTTTTAACAAAAGTGAACTAGGTTCAGGTTCAATTTTTTTACACACTATTTGTGTTACAGTTGAAAAATTAAAGGTGACAGCACAGATTTCGTAATTATTCAAATAAATAACATAAAATAAAACGCAGATAATGCTATATTCGACGTGTGTGGTGGCCAAAGTAACATTTGCTTTCGTATTAGCCACCTTCACAAACACTTTAAGTTTAACCAACAGAAGAAAACAGATCCTAAGACTAACTAGCATATTATTTAAGATTGAGATAAGTTAAAGATACAGTGAATACATTGCTTTCACTAGTCATAGCTCCTGAAGTGAGCGTAAGTGGAGTACCAAACCGTGTACATTACATTTTATCCCTGTAATGAATTAAAATCGATAATGTTTTTTAGTTTATCCGGTCCTCAGCACAGAGGGACAGAAAGAATGGGAGCAAATAGAAGAAGCATTATACCGTCAAGAGCTGACGATTCAAGGCTACAATAAATACAGAAGAAGACTCTTTCAGATGGAAAAGTTGATGCCTCAAGACACAGCGAGCAAAGAGGAGAAAGAAGAGAAAAAGAAAAAAGTGGCAGAAGAACCAGTTAGCAACCCACAAACAGATAAAAAGAATACAGGAAATAATCATAATTTCCGTTCTAAAGAAGAGTGTTCCAAGGTAACTTAACTAGACCGTAAAAATATGTAAGGCTTTGCCTGCATTAATTTTTCCACTGCACTGTGTTAATTCAATTCCTTTTTTTTTTTTTTACTTTTTACACATTCCTTTGCTACTTACATGTTCGTTGGAGACGACATGACCCTGAGATGGTCTATCAATTCTGTGTCTGTATAGCTCTTCTGTTCTTGTTTCTGCTTTCGAGCTATCACTTTCTTTTTCTACAATATTGTCCCTTCTTTTCTCTACCAAGATACGGCAGCCAGCTTACTAGTAATAGTATGCCCCAAATTTGCCGTTTTCTGAGTGATTTCTCATGAGCATCCTCCGTTTTCTTTGCTTCACAAAATCATTATGCTTAAGCAAACTCCCTTTTATAACGAATTAAATGTTCACCTTAGTTGTGGCAAAATGTATTTTATAAGTCTCTAATATAATGAGGATTCAGGTAGCCACGGAATTAAAAAAGAGACCGAATTAGCCATTTCCTAAACGAATTTTCATCAGCCTTGTGCACAGGGCTTTCTAATATAACGAATGGTATTCATTACCATTTTTGTGGCAATATGTATTGGACAAGACCCCGATATAGCATAGCCCCCTCATTACAAACACATTTTGCCACTTCCGTCAGCGGCGATTCATTATAGCGGAGTTCTTGTGCGCGCAGCGCAGCACCTTGGGTAAGAAAATTAGGTTATCTATGCATCCAAGAAATTTTGGTTCTGACAAAATCGTGTGCTGCGAGGACAATTATTTTCCAAAGGGAAAATTTAAATTATTTAATAGTTTGTTTCACTCAGTGTAAGTTGTTTTTCAAAAAGTTTGTTTTTATTGCTGATTTGTTTGCCGTGCGTTATCTGTCGGTGGTATGTAACGAAGCTAAATGCATGTGGCTTGGCTTGTTTACGTTCGTACGTATTGCGTGCCTGTTGCAACTTTGAATCAAAACAAGGGAACTCGATTACTCTATTTGGGCGCCGCCCAAATTAAAGAACATGAAATGTTACAGTGGCGGTGAGAAGCTAGTGGCCACCAAGATGAAAATAAGCGGCAGAAACACATGCAACCTTTCCTCCCTAAAACGTGTAACCAGGACGTTTCTGGAAGTTTCACGTTGCAGTCGTGCAAAACAATGGCAAAGAAATGTACAAAAACTTGTGTGTTTTGCTGTTCTCATGGCCTTCACCATTTAGCATTATAGAATTTAATTTAACTATAAGTATATTAACGACAGCTTCGCTTTTAGCCCTGGGTAAATCTATATTTTATCAGTGTCCAAACTGTAGATACCAAGTGCCAAAGATTTGAACTAAAAATTGAGGTTGTTGAAATTAAACTTATATTACAGGATTAAGAAAGGGCTAGTAGTAATAGGTCCTAATATAGGATGTAGCCAATCAGGGAGCAGCAAAGACAAAAGGATCTATTGTTTAAGTTGTCCACGTGACCTAATTTGCAGGTCATTTGGTCACATGACCCATGGACCAACTGCACATGCACAACCCCAGGTCCTGTGCATGCGCAGACTCACAAAGTGGGACACGTGGTGAGATAGACCTAGTGCGCATGCACGGACACTCAAAAAATACTTCCCAGTTCCCTAACAAGCGGCACGACCGGAAGTCAATAAAAAACATCGGAAATCAGGTTGTTTTTGTTTAATATCACCTCGATTGGTTGCCCTTTGTACAGTCGGGACATGTGCAACCATGCGAGCCATGTCACGCCCTCCATTATTTACAAGTCCAGCAAGAGGTCCACCTCCTCTCCGATCGTCTCATAGCCATAAGGATAACTCGATTTAGTGTTTGTATTGATCAGGCGTTTGTCGAATCGAAAACTAGTCCATAATGCTTTACACGTGGAATGACTTTGATCCGGTTTTATTCCAAATCCCTTTGGAAGTAATAAGGCATGACCACGTCCAGCGTGTGACAATGGTCCTGTGGATTGTCCAATTCTGCCAAGATGTTTTTCATGGTGTGAAAATTAAGGACAGCCTAACCGCGAACATTCAAGGTGAATCTGCAGACATTGCAGATCACTTTTCTCTCCCTTGTCACGTAACCGTAGTTTTTGGCACCAGCTGAGACGAATTCTGTGACAACGTCACCATCGCGTTCATCCGTCATGTCCCCAAGAAAGTCGCCAGTGGCGATGAAGGGTTGACCGGGGCGCCATTTGTACACCACACTATTGATATCATAGTAAAGGACTTACTTACTTGGAGGGCATCTAACGACTCGTAAAGTTTGAGCCGAGCATGACAGGTCGTGAATGCAGCAATGACGATATTGGTCTTGGTGCCCTTGACGGCATTGTCATGCACACTAGTATAGACAGCCTCCAAAGTATTGTCGGTACACAATCGGAGGGTACTGATGTCGAGGGCGTACTCGGACAATAAGCTGAACAAATGAGATGGATCTTTGACGGTGACGGTGGTGGGTTTATTGACACGTTGAGCAAATTTGCCCCAGAAACTGCCAAACAAAAAGGAATCATGAGAATGGGTAAAATGAAAAATAAAAAAACGGAACGGATATACCTGTTAAGCATTAAATTGGCTGTGGCCTTGCGACCTGGATTTTTGGCAAACAAATTGGCTACGAAGATGCCATTCTGCCTCGAAATGAGCGTAGACAAACAGAGGGCGTGGCATCTCCATTCTACCTTCTCCATCCTCCTCAGGTTCTTTTTCCTCCTCTACGACAGGTTGAATGTAACACTTGTGGTCATGGATGGAGACCCAGTCATCACACACGGGACATTTGGCATATTCGCACCTATGACGTTGGCCTTTGACGACGGTGTACTGGGCCTGGCAGTGGAGACATGTTTTCATCGTTTGGCACAGTTTGGTGACAAAATGATGTTGTTTGCATTGGACACCATAAAAGTTGTTGTGACAATGCGTACAATAATCGGAGGGTCGAGTGCCACGAACATAATCTGAACAGTCAAAGCGCCCACAAGCACGACAGTGGTTATCTTGACGCGAATGGTGGGTTCCATCGTTAGTGTTGAAGCCCTTTTCGCAATCCAGCAATAATACGAATGATTCACGAAAGCAGGAAACAACATGCAACCATCAAAATGATGGTTGGATTTGAGTAAACAAATCTGGTGCAGTGCTGTGGAACCCTTGAAGATCAAAAAGAAAGTTTTCATACGGGCCATCACCAACAATTGATATTGAGGGCCCAAAGCATGTTGAAATTGTTGGAGCTCCTCTAATCCAAGTCCTCCAAGTCCTCCTCTAACCCAAGTCAATCCCTGCTTGGTGATGCAGTTCCTGGGCTTGCCGTTGTTGCACCGAATACCCACGCTTTAAATTTTCCCATTGGCCATGACCTGCACTTCCTTCCCCTTTGTGACAATGCACTCGCATGGAGACGATGGCGCGAGCACAGCCTAATGCATGTCTGTTTTTGATGGTGATGATGCATCTTTTTTTCTTGTTTTCTCTGTCCAGACACCGACGTCCAGGGTTGTATTTGTTACCTCGACCTGGACCCAGACCTGGCATGGACACAAACACCACATCCGCTTGGAAACCGCATTCGGGGTTGAAGGACTCATTGCTGTTTAACTTGCTTGCCAACTTGGCCAACATCTCATCCAATCGAGCAGTCCGTTGCAAGAACTCATCCATGGCGAAATTACCTGTTTGGTAGGCATGCATGAAACCATGAGCGGTGAGAGCGAAATTGACAAAATGATGAGCAGGTCGCTGCTGTCGATGTACTTCAGCCTCGATGGCATTATGCAAGGTTTCAGTCAAGGCTAGCCCAATATTATCCCCATCCACAGGATTCCTCAATTAGGGCAGCTGAGCATTGAATTACGCCCGCTCCAAGACATTGTGCCAGCGGCATCTTCTCCCAATAGGTTGCATATTGAATTGAAAGAGTGGACCATGGGTAGAGCCACTACCCAGCTGCTCCCACCGGTCAAAGGCTCTGTCCAAAATGGCGTCCTCTCCTTCTTCTTTATTGCTGAAGTGATAAAACATGTCGTCCACATTAGGAACACAGTTTGTCATAGTTGGTGAAACATGCACTGACCGCGGAGGTGATTTGAATTATTCCGCACAAGGGGATGGCTTTTATAGAACAAAACAGGTGATATCACATGATCTGGGATGGGTGGAAGCAAATCAGGTGATCGTCAGGAGCAACATCATGATCAGAGATTGGTGGAAAAGGAATCAGGTGATGCATCGTGATCAAGGCTTGGTGGAAAACGAATTCTCAGGTGAGGGGTTTGATCGTCAGGAGGAACATCAGGGGTGGACCCCTATGGGTACCAGATTTCCTCCACCCGTGCCATCCCTGGACCGAGGGCTATGATTGTCGGACAAGACGATAGCTATAGATAAACCTCCTTGACACTAACCAGTTTCGTCATGCCTAACCAAGATCCTGAAACCGTGAAACAATGGTATGTGAAGAATAGAGAGGCCATTTTGAAACGAAAACAACAACATCCAGCAGCAAAGAAGAAACAACAACAGCCGCGACCGAAACGCCCACCGTCCCCCAAGCAGACAGTGAGAAGAAAAGAACTTAACAGACAGGCGTGCAATCGATACCGAGACAGCCATCATGAAAAGGTGAGAGCGATCAATCGCACTTATTACCACAGCAACAGGGAGAGGATTGTGTGACAACAACGTGAATGTGGAGCCAAGGCCAAGAACCCTTTTCGAAAATTACGTGCTTTGGCCCAAGTGTGTACCGAGCAGTTGAGGTCTCTCTACCATGTACCAACAAGCCAAAAAATTGGACAATACAGGGTGAGGAAGAAAACAGCTGTGGACGGGATGGTGGACATGAAGGCCATCAACAGACAGCGATATCGGGAAAAGATAGCCCAACTCAAGGCGGAGGGAGAATACGAAACATTCAAGAAACACAAAGCGACCGTGGGAGAGCGACGCTATCACAATATGTCAGACGACCAACGGGCCGAAGTGTGCCAGAAAAATCCTCTGTGTCAAAAAACCTAGAAAGAAAAAATGGTGCGAGAGGGGACGTTTGAAGAGTACCGGAGATGGCTGAATGTGCGACATTGAGAAAAAGCCACCGAGAAAAAACGAGCCATGGGAGCCGAGGGGTGCAAAGACTCAGCGTGGACGCTATGCTGATTGTGTGAAGGCGGCCAAACGGAACCATTGGAGCTGGTTAGACAACCATCTGGCACGTCCCTTTCCCTTACCATGGCAACTTCTTGAGTGGATGGAACAAGAGAATGAGGAGGAGGAGGACACTGTGCAGGCGATTTGCATGAACTCTTTGGATCAGATGGACCATTACTTGTAACGAAACCAAATAAAATGAATCGTGTGTATATAATAACGTCTCTTTCATTACTCGTTTTAAAAAATGGGGGAACTTAATACAATCTTACATGCCCAACTTGAGTTTAGCTTTCATAACATTTTTGACGATACGTTCCATCAGGGTTTTACAGCCTGGTAGTTTATCGATCTTGGCAATCATCTTGCGATCGGCAGCCCATTTATCCTTCAAGTCCTTGGCTTTGCCATAGTCGGTGTCATGGGCTTTGGCAATCCTGTCCAACCAGTTGCGTTTCAAGCTGCGTTTGACTTGCTCCCCTCATTTAGTCCTCTTTGTATATCTTGGAGTCCCGCCTGGGCTTGCTGGACGATGAGAGGAGCCGCTATTTGATCAACTCTTTGGCCAATCCTTTTCCCTCCTGGGACGTGACCACGTGCGTGTGTTCGCGTGTTAAACTCCTCCTCGCATAGTGCTGTTGTTCTGTGTGTATGTTCTCTACCCGGGGGTGTGTGGCATTTTTATAGCTGTTTGAGTCCAATGGTTACGATGGTTTTGCCAGGAGGTAGGATGGCCAGGGGTCCGTTGGGCGTGGCAATCTCCACTTCGATGATATCCAGTTGATTCCCTCGAACATTGGTGATGCAGGGATTCCACTGTACTTCGTCCATCGCCTGTTCTTGATAACTGCACTTCGCACAAGAGGGGAACTTTGCCACTCCCCACCACCGAAGATTCCACCACATCGGAATACACTATCGCCATACATTGCCTGACACCCACGATCTTTTTGAAGGAGGCATTGAGGTTGTTAAAACGCCATTCCACTTAGAGCGACAGTTGCAATCGGTTATTTTCCACTTTGAATAACTTATTCATCACGCTTGTCGTCAGATTGATGGGTTAAATCCCCACATAAGGTTCTCCATTCCAATTACAGGTTGATCGCATCGAGGAGTCGGCAGGTTCTGTCGAGTCCATGTAGGTGATGTCGGGGAGGGTGAATTGTAAATTGGGTCCCAACCAGTGTTTTGACAACGAACCCAAACTTTTCGGCCACAGAAAAGTCAATGGCAAAGGAGGCCAGAGCTGTCGTTTTGGCTGAGTTCATCAGTTCCACTTTGTGTATAGCATGCAATATCAAAGCATCTTCTTTCAACCCAAGGTTGGCATCCTTTTTTTTTTTGACACCGACAATGGGAATCTCATCTCGATCACTCAACATGTCTTCTTGTTCTTTGGTTAGTGTGATCATGACTTTGTTGTGTACCGCTTGCATCACCCGTTGCCAAAACATGAGGCCAGAGGTCACAAAGAGATCCGCATTCATCACATCCTCTAACTCCACAGCATATTCTTTTCGCTTGAATTCTATCAGTCGATAAGTCCCTAACACATTTTTCAAACGCCCATACACAGACCCAATCGGACCACTTTGGTATAAGGATCACGGGCGATCACACCACTGCTCTGTCCTTCATCGGGCACGGTCATGGACAACAACGAGGCATGCCATTGATCGCCCGGCAAGGTGAGACATTCAGACAGTCATACCTTGAAACTGTTGTTGGCATTTTGGGGAAACTTGTTGGTTGGATCGCTGATCGGTGTCAATCATTGGATGTCACTCATGATGATGATGATCTCCTGAGGGTTCACAGTCCTGTTATAGCCACTGGGCCACTTTGTATTTGGTGGCAGGGAAGCGACTCACCAACGACTTGTAGGTCAATTGTTTGGGATGAAAACACACTTGCTGAGCAATGTCGGGAAAGGCCCGTGCCAGTTCCTTCAGGGTCAAGCGGGTTTTTTGTTTTCTGGGTTTTTTCTTTTGCATCGGCAGTCGCTGACTTGTGCATTGGCATTGTTTTCTTTGCCGGGCTCTTTCTTCGCCCTGATGAAAGGCATTGGCGTACTCCCATTGTTCCTTGGTGAGACTGGCTAATTTTTCCCACCACTGCAATTTTCTACGCGGGGTGTTTTGTTTTCGTCGGACCATGACGTTGGGCTGGAATCCAACTATCGTACTTGGACGGCCACCCTTTCCACCGCACTAAAACGTTCCGTCCTTTTCGTTTTAAGACTTTTTCCACACGAAATAATGAGTTGTCCGACACTTGCACTTTCTGTACATCGGGTTCGTAAAACGTGCGTTTTATAGGCGTTTCGTCCCATTTACTGAGTCGATACGTGACCACTGAATGACAACGAACGTGCATGACCACAAACTGTCCACCCCGGTAATTAGCCTTTTGTGAATGGACGATGTTTCTTGTTGAGTTGCACGCGATCCCCGACTTGACATTTGAGGGGTGGGGTCTTTTGGTCCAAGCGCTGGCCGTAGAGTTTGTCCCAGACCTCGGGCGCTGTCTGCTATTGCTCGTCTTAGTCAAACACCAGGGTGGGTGTGGTAGGGAAGCGATTACCGTCGGGGTTTATGTAACGTATAACTGAGCATGGATTAGAGAATACGTTGCGCTTGAGGGGTTTTCAGTTGGTGGGTGTTAGCAAAAGGCTCTACCCCACCCAACACCCCTCGTTCATGAGGATCCTCGTAAGTGAGTGGCAACGACATTGACATACTGACACAAGATAGTTTGATGTCTTTTTCTTCAATATTTTTTTCATAGAGACATTTTGTTCAAAACAATGTTCCACTACGGTACTTTTTATGAAAATGGTGCCTCTGGTTTCTCTGGGCTTCAGCCGATTCAGCAAACTGGTTCAACCATCTTTGCTGGGACACGAAAGGTGTGGACAATTCTCCTGTCTTCCACATGGGAGTCAAGCCAGCGTTGTCTCATGAGGGGACAGGTTCTTTGACCCATCTTCTCGGGAGGGGTTGTGCTTGGTCTCTGGGACGCCACAAAGGACCATTGAAAATAGCCACAGGGTTGTTGCCCTGAGAAATACTCGCCACCGCTAAAGAAGACTTTAATCTTGGAGGTGTGATTCAACGTCATCTTGGGGGTCCATTCGCATTTGCACTTCAGCGAACCTTGTTGCAATTTGGCCCGCACTTGGGGACGGGTGTCTTCTTTCAGTTTTTGCAACTTCGAACAAATACACGGGACAACTCTCTTGCGGACACTTGTACCTCAAACTTGCAAATTCAGTCTGGGGGTTGAGACAATAGATGAAGTGGTGGGGGTGAAACGGGCAAGCTTGGTACAACATGTCGTTCATTTTAGCATCCATCTCGTTCAGCTCATACTCTTCCCATTCACCCACGTCTGTGGCAGGATCAGGTTGCCACGTACCTTCATCCACACATTCTTCATGGTAGTCCTTTAAGGTATGATTCATCAACTCGTTTAGTGATTGGGGTGGTGGTACTGGTGCTTCTTCAGCTTAGGGTAGAACACTCAGGGCAACAATCAGTTCACTGCTGGGTGTTTCTGTGGCTTTTGCCTCTAGTTCTTTTGCTTTTTGTTCATCATTCTTCTTAGCAGTGGCTCGACATCGTTTGCATCCAGTAGGCAGGACAGCTGGTTGTGTGGCTTGACGCTCCATGTCAATTCACCCCACCAAATGAACCTAACCTCGACAACACCTTTTCTTATACACCCATGACCTGTTCATCAATCTGTCCTGTGATAATGATGTGATGTTTTTCCACCAATCCCGAACCAATCCATCAGTCTCGTGATAATGGTGTGATATTTTTTCCCACCAATCCCGTATCATTCCATCATGTTATAAAAAGGATGGATTCATTGCTTTTCTTGCCAGTTCATTCCATCTCCGTTCCACTGTAAGTCGTATATCATGTCTTTGCACAAAGTGGGTCTCTTGGCTTATAGTCAGGGGTTTGTTTTATCCCTTGATGAGTATATCTCTTGGGAACTTGGTTTCTGGGATTGGACGGGGCACCATCACGTATTGTTCAAATACACTTAACCACCCGGTATGGCGTACGCCACTTTATCAGAGGATGTCAAGGCCCGAGTGGATAGTCAGACCAACACTGTCCATGGCTTACCTTTTGAACCCTTCTTTTTTGATCACAACCATCATGAATTTCATCCCTACCTTCAGCTGAGGGATGATGTCACCCACTGGTGTCAACAGCATCTCACCCTAGAACGATGGCACGTGGGTGTCTTCACCATGAATGGTCTCTATCGATTTTTCGAAAATTCCCAGTCCATGGTGGTCCGGAAGGACAGGGATGTAGGGAGTTATCGACGCTTCCCATAGCCACTATCAATGTTATGGCTACCAACGATCATGGTCAAAATTGGTGTCACGATCATATCCACGGTGAATGCAATAGCGATATATGGCATGATTGTTGTGCTAGAGTATGCGCCTGTCAAATGATGGTTGCGTCGACAGTCTCACGTGTTCCGTCTCTGTCCTAAGTCAATGCCCAGCAGGTGCTTTAGCAAAAACGTTGCGATCGTCTCTTGGATGGGTTGTTATGCAACCATCGCATTGATAGCAAAGACGATGCTTTTGCCCAAGGAAAAGGCGTGGATTGGATTCTCGATAATTGTGATCAATGCAAAACAGTCTGACGTATATTTGAACAAACCGTCACCTACCGGGAATGGCAGGGACCCCTCATGTATGCCAATGATGAGCCGCAAACCATGTGGGCTTGGAATGCCCTTTCCAATGATCATCATTAATTCAGACTTTTTTTAATTTCAGACTATGCCGCTAACCATTTATACGGGTGGCGCCAAAGGCGTGGATACGCATGTGGAACATTTATGTCACAAGTATTGTCATCAATGCATGGTGTTGATCCCACCCTGTCACCCTCGTGCACGGTCCATCACACCCATATCCAGGGCAGCATTGGATGCCGCCACACCCACCGTCACCCAGGTGGCTTTTCGATTGGGTCGCTCTGTTAGCAATCCCATCACCCTACAGTATTTACAGCATAATTATCACATGGTCAAGGATGCTTCCTTCGTACTGGCTTTGGGGTATTTTGATGATGCACGCAAGCATGTCTTAGGCGGTACGGGTGGGAGTGTGGCCATGGCTCAGATATTAGGCAAACCCCTGTATGTCTTTGATTTGGATATGGAACAGTGATATTGGTGGAATCCCACTTTACAAGACTATCTACCCTGTGGGGGTATGACCGAGCTATAGGTGTGCCTTCCTGAGTTACAGGATAAGACGGCTATTGTAGGAACACAAGAAGAAGTATCCGTTGTCTATCCCACTTTGGACGTTTTATTCAAATGAACATGACAAATGAAAAAACATAAGCAATCATTGTAACAAGTTTAATAAACAAGCTCAATGGATAACATTCACGTGTACAGTGATTTGTTCCATCACTGACATGACATTAAATATCTTGTCCAAACGTGTCATTACTTTCTCTAATGTGTCGTAACGACGTGAGCGTCGCCCAATCATAACCAGTTGCATGCCCACTGCTAATTCTGTCAATTTGGATTTGGACTGTTCGATCGAAAAGGCAATGCCTTCATTCATCAGCTTGTCGAGGTTGATGGGCTCATGGCACCTTTCCACCATCATGTCAATCTGTATAAACATAAACAAAATGAGAATAAATTCAGTGGACCATTTGATGAAAAAGCAGTACATTAGTATCACTCACGGACAATCGGTGGTCCAAGAGTCAATGGCAGTGATGACAATAGCTTGTCCTGCGATACCGGTTGCGCCTCACCACTTGATTTCATTGCCGGTCATCGCCAAGTATATGCTGCCATCCTGTCATGGTGCATTTCGGTAACAGACAGATCTCACGCATCACATCCCACCACTTGTCATGGTGACAAAGCATTCCGCGAAAAACAGCATAGATGGTTGCCAATCGAAGTGCAATGGCGCATCAAACGGCTTGTCTTTCACATCAATCAATCTTCGGTATTTCGTGTCGACGAGCAAGCAATGAATGTGAGGCAATGAGTCACTCCTTTTTTGTAGCTGACCTCACGTGATGGAGTAATGTCATCACCGGGTCTGGGATTGGTGGAAAAAAATCACGCCACCATCACACCATCGGTTAGAAAAGAAAACTTGAATAAAACGTGTACCCATGTGGGGTACCCCCTATAATTTCCTTTCGTCGTGTGATTTGTTTCCCCAATCAGATATACGGCTCATCTTCCCAAAACACTGCACCATCATTCTTTCACTCATACTTCACTGTCCATCCATGCAAACTTTGGAGCAACTCGTTTTATTAACCGTGCCCTTTCTCATCTTGTTGGACTTGCTCAAACAAGTTTGGCATCTGCCTCTGAAGCTTCCCTTTTGGGAGACCCTCCTACGACGATGTAGCACCCAAACATTGACCAGTCTGTCCAAAACACTACCCTGAGATGATCCCGTGGCCAGAGCGCTGGATTTTGAAGTCCATCGTCGAAAAATGGCCGGTAAGTTTATGTCCCTTCCTCTTGTGGGTTGGCCTCTTCATTCCTTTATTACCCTTTTCTCGTTTTTATTCCTCATAGTAATACTCTCCGATTTGGATTTTCGCTGAAAAGTCCTTTGGCCCACTAGTCTTGGCCTTTGTTCTCGTCGCTGTAGATTAAATTGGGCAGCACGATTTTGGGTCCAAGATTGTTAGTGTTATTCACCACTCTCCTGGACCAAGCAGTCTGTCATATTTACAAATGGGCTCAACATTCGAGGCGTTCTCTGCAATCATTGTGATCATATAATGGATTCGAGATCTTTAGAGGATGTTATTCACAAGCGTAATCCACCTTCTTTAACAGAAGATGATGTAATCGATTTTCCTCGTCATTCCGATCCCGATCACGACGGGTGGAATGATGGGGTGATACGCATGAGATTCCGTATCAGTTCCTATGTTCGGTCTGTTCTCTCCCTTCCCGAGCCTGATTTGAGTGTTTTGGATTTGTTCTTGGTACTTTCTACATTCTCCGCACTAACAGGGTTCATGGACATTGGTTGGGAAACCTGCAACTGCTTTGCACACGATGTTATTTAAATATTCGTCTCGTATCCAAGTTAACTACCTCTTGTTTTGGTGTGATTTATTAATTGACTTGGGCTATGAACGAACGTGATCGCCCAGTTTTTTTTTCTCCTTAGATTGTCATTTCGTGCTACAAACAATTTTCCTTCCTTCCCTTCATCAGGGACTCACCATTGATGGGAACAAACATATTTCGTCAAAGAAACATGACCGGCAAATTATTTTTGGTTTGCAAATCGTGCTGGATACATGTACGACACATCTCCATGATCTGTGAACCCTGTGACTTTTTCGACAGCATCGGTTTCGAATTAGATATATTATAATGTTGTTTTATTCATAGACAGTCTTTGGATAATGAGACATAATGATCATTCGAGGATGGCCAGTCGAGGGAAAGCTCGCAATTGTTAGTCATCAAGGAATGTCAATCCTGTTGTCAAAGTTCTTTAAATAAGTTGTAAAATAAAGCATTTTTTTTCTTCTCAGTCATTGGTTAATGAGCACGGCAAAGATTCGTCGTGGACAACCTATCAGGGGAAGGCTTTTCCATTATATTAGAACACATGCAAAATTGAGAGCGCGCCGTCACCAGGACGTCGCACATTTCCCGTTTGTACCTAGGGTATTGTCTCGAGAACGAATTAAACCAAAAACATAATTTTGTTCTCAACACGGTGTGCTTTTTTTGACTCCCGGTGGCACTGCGTTGTCACTTCCGGTGACGTCATATATCATCCATCGAGTGCGGGGGATCTGGGAGCAGTTTTGGGGGCGTCTGCATCCATTCGAGGTTATATTCAACAAAAACAACTTGATTTCCAGTGTCTTTTATTGCCTTCCAGTGATACTGCTACAAATGCGAGGAGTCTGGGGAGCATTATTGAGTGTCCGTGCATGCGCATTGGCTTTATGGGGTCATGTGTCCCAATGAATGCAAGGGACCTGGTGAGCAGTTTGGGTGTTTGCACATGCTCCTAGGAACCCGTTTAAGTGACTGCGCAGGACCTGGGAGCAGTTTGGGGGTTTGTGCATGCGCAGTCGGTCCATGGGTCATGTGACCAAATGACGTCAAAACATGCAAATTAGGTCAGGTGGCCAACTTAAACAATAGATCCTATTGTCTTTGCTGCTCTGTGATTGGCTACATCCTATATTAGAATCTATTACTACTAGCGCGGTAATCAAGTGAATGAGGTTTCCCTTGTTGAGTGTAAGTTCAGTTGATAAAAACCTTGGAACAGAAACCCAAAACTATTTTATGGTACGTCATTTCCCTCAGCCAATTCTCTTTTCTTGCTGTGTTGATTTCTTCCCAGGCTTATGATGATCTTTTGGCTGAGGTTCAAAGACTGAGAAGGCAGTCGAACATCAGCAATGACTCAAACGGCAGACACACAACTAAGTTACCGCCAGCTCCATCAAACAACATTCTTCAGAGTCCTACAAATGACACACAGCTATTAACAAAACTTTCGTCAAATAAAGATGGTCTGAAGAATTTAAATGAACATATAAATAATTCAGTGACAAGTTTTAAAGGTGACCTAGGTTATAGAAGGACTCCGCATAATGAATCATCACAAGTTGGCAGACAGGAAAAGGTACTCTTGTCAGAGGGGAACAACATGAAAGGAGATCCAGGAGTGTTAATGAATAAAAAAGAAAAGTCAAGTGATATTAAGCAGACGAAACCTTTACGGAAGAAATTAATCAAGGCAGGAGAATTCTGATGCTGCTTAATTATTTTATTACCAATGATAGTCATAAAATCGGTGGAATGTTGATAGAATTCACTTGACGTAATTTGTGAATTCGGGAACATCATCAGCTGAATCTGAACTCTACCTTTAGCGGTGGAAAACGTGAGTCTAAACCGGACATGGTCGTAAAAAGAAGAAAAAGCTCCAAAGGAGGATGCCAGGCGTAAATAGAAAAGTCCTCTGTCCCCAATGGCAGCCGAAGTCAATAATTAAAACGCATTGGCGAAACTTCGAAAGGGTGTGAGTTTCACTCTTATTGTACCCCTGGTTTATGTGAGCTGCGAAGCCAGCATTACGGAACATCGTCCTCGGTTGAAAATATGGTAGGGTGAGGCACTCTGAAACACCAGCAGGGAGGAGCCTTGTTGAGTATCATAGATAGTGTCATTGCATCTGACTTGGTAAGCTTGGTTGACAATCAAGGACGATAAACGAAGGCGCAAAAGACACACAGAGGCGCTGTTCAATTACCTGTCTGTGAAACAACCGCTCGGAGACAGGGGTGGGGTTCTGTCGTATATGGGCTTTTAAAGAGGCCTTGTCACGAGGATATGCTAAAGTCATTACTTAGTGTCTTTAATCATACACACAATGCTCCTGTAGAGTAATGGAGAAGATATCAAGCAAATTTCATCAAGAAGCACTTGCCACAATAAGCTTCAATCCATGTCTATTTTTGACATCCGTTGCAACAGACGCCAGGAAACAAATTCAATGCCTAAAATAATACAGTCTTAAATAACAAAACTAGACCATTATTTTTGGAATTCAATTGATGCGAAGACATGTTTTAGCTTTTTAAAAGTTAAACGATGGAAAATAGCCTGATATATCCCCTTAAGATTGTAAGATATTAGCACCCGTGTCATTGGTATAGTTTTCAAGCAGTCAAGTCTGGGATGGGTTATAGAAATTAGAGGAGTTTGGTTATGGTCGATATTATTTACGGAAAATGGATATGGATGTTCAAAGCTAATTGATTTTCATGGTTTTGCTACTGCTTATCACCTGTCATACAAGCTACAAGCAAAAGAAATGAAAAAGATTGCTGCTTATGATCAGTTGTAAACAAACGTATCCTCAGCTTTGTACATGTAAGTTTAATGTCTATTTATTATGCTAATGATTCAATTTGTGCCTCTTTAAGATTTCGGCCTTGAAAGGAGGCCCTTTTTTAAATGAGAAGTTGAACAAAATAAAAAAGTGATTAAAATACGTGCTTTTATTGTGATACCCTCACAACTTAACTGATAAAGTGACGGGGAGGGGGGAGGAGTGAATGAATGATAACTTTATTTATACACGATTAACAACCTCAGTCTAACATAGAAAATTAATTGAAAATTCTCAAAAACTTTTCTACATATTTGCCGTATCAGGAAACCATTAATAGGAACTTCTCTTCTCATGAGCATGCTTACCTCAAGACTCCTTTGCATACAATGAAAGTTTACATCACACGACGAGTTAGCCTCACCATCGAAGTTTTGCTCATTAAGTTTGTCCTTTTTTTCGACCACTAAGGTAATCACTTTTTCCAAAGTAATCAACGCTTTCAAGCGATAGAATTCGTGGACAGACTCGTTCCGGTAAAGTTCGACATCTTTCGCAGCTTTCTATTCTATTTGTGGTGCTGCAAGTACAGTGCGTGACAGTCAAGTACAAAGCTACCCGTACAAACATCCGTGACACACACGTAACGTCACACGGGTAGTTGAAGTTACTTGCAGTAGTAGTTGAGGGTTTAATCATTGATATCTCAAGTATTTATAAAGTGCAACGCGACTTAACAAATCTTAACAACCGCGAAAATCTATCGATTAAATACATACAACAAAGTGAATCTGCAATATCGAATCTATTTAACCGTAAAGTTGCAGTAATTGCGTCAATGACGAAACAACGTAACGCCTCAATACACCACAAAACAACAAAATAGGATTTTCCCGCTATGATACTTTCTCACATTCTACTTTATCGACGATCGAGTATTCTTTATGGTATTTACTTTTTAGGGAAAAATGACATCATTGCCAAACAGCAAAAACGGGATCAGCTTTATGCGTCATTTCAGTAGTTCGACTACTAAAAAATGCCACGGAAGGGATCGATTTGGACACCTCATCCCTTTTGCTCCCCAGATACAAGATGGTTGGTCTTGAACGATGGTCGGGTTTGGGGGGGGTGCGTGACGAAGCCCTGAGGAGGTCTTCGAAGAAGGTTACTTTTTCTGAGCCCTTTTATGTATTAAAAGGGATTCAATATCGGGTATACAGGATTTTTTTGACGGTCAAATCATCAACACTAAGGGGTTAAGAAACCTAGGGCAATGGCAACAGTTGGAGGGATCAGTCAATACCCACCGTAAAAAACAATGTTTAGTATCTGAAAGCATAACACAAAAATTGGAAGCGCGGAGGGAAGGATTAGAAAGGCTGTACTGCGACTGATCGGGAGAGAATCGGTAAATAGTATAATGCAGGAGATGACGCAACAGATGGATAATAAAAAGAGAACATGATCGTTTTGCCGCCAAACTACACCGTGAAAGCTTCCCACTTTCAGTTCAACAAGACGTGTTTGAACACGGAGAAGTGTCCTCCCCGTCATTGACGATAGTTACCCTAAAATTCTGAAAATAAGCCCCGGGGCTTATCTTTTTAAAAGGCCCTTTGTGAGGGGCTTATTTTTGGAGGAGCTTATCTACGGAGGGAAAATTGCGTTTCGAAATCGATTGGGCTAGCCTCATGGTTGGAAGTAAATTTACCGCTTTTGCTTTGTTTTACTTTGTAATTTGAGGGCACTTTTCCAAGTACAAGCCCCCGGGGGGCTTATATTTGGAGGGACGATTTAACGGAGGGTTTTTTGCGTTACCGGTTTGGAGGGCTTATACACGGAGGGGCTTATTTTCGGAATCTTATGGTATTACGACGAAGTAATGTGCGATAACCCCAAGTTTATTTAAAAATACAGTGAAAAACGTTTTATTCACCATTTTCACATAGACCATTATGTCTTTCAAAGCCCGTTGTTCTCGAGGGTACTCGGTCAATCCGCCGGTCCCCACCACAGCGCTCGGGTTCACCAGGACAGGCAGTGTTATCATGTTGGGAATACAGGGAACAGAATTACCCACGACGTGTTCATACCAATACCATACGTTGCGTTTCAGATCGTAAACGTACAGGGGCTTATACGCTAGAAAAGTAAATTCCACCGTCAACCCAGTATCTTTGATTGGAGTGAAAAAGTCATAGGCGTACACGGCTCATGCAACTTGCACAGTGTGTTTATTCCGATGAATGTACGCAAGGGTTACTGGACTCTGTAAACTCTTACCCAATTTAGTCATGACCTTCAGGGTAAAGGGATGGCCTGTTCTAGTTTTTGCTCTGTCAAGGAGGTGACTTGAGAGGCCCGTAGATGCTGGGACGGGATCACCAACTTTACTTGCACACCATACTGTCCCTTGGGTACCACCCGTGACCAGAGTGAATAGTGAAAGGGGATCTATGTGCATGAGTTCAGCAGTAGTAGGGCACCCAAACACGATGAAGAATGAAATTAAGGAAAAAACTGCGTCTTATATAGCTAAGAGGAAGGAGGTCACACCTACATGCTTAGCTATAGCAAGGTTTGTCCGTCCTAGGACATTATAGTTAATAATAATACTCTATTCAAATACATATATGCACACATGTTTATTTGAAAAGGTGGACCGCAAGGTTATCCCTATAAAAGGTTCCCTAACTGAACTTTAAATGAGATTTATTTCTCAAAGAAATAAACGGTTTTATGCTGAATGTGACTGATCAATATTGTATTTCTCCAGCTACCAGCAAAGGAGGGTTTTCCTGTCATCAGGGTGATTTGTCACGAAACTGTCATTTATCTCACGGGTCATGTAAGTCACAGAAGCGAGGCACAATGCCTCCTTCCTCGTGTCACTTTTGCTGGAATAATGTTCTTGTGTATCTGGTTTTCCCAGCTTTATACGCTTTAATTTAATAAGCGGCCACTCCCGTGGCCAAAATATCCCATAATGAGTTTGTGATTATTTTGTGTCCCAGCAAACAGAGCTCACCCAAAGCGAGACTCCGCCAACATCAATAACTCTCTTAAAAGAACATGAAGCCGAAAAATATTTAAAAATAATTATAAAAAACGCGCGTAATAATCATTAATGCGGGTACAAAATGGTATAGTAAGAATGATATTTAAAATTAAAATATATATAATTAAAAACAGAGCTACTGTGTCAATAAATCTTCATCCATCTTTTAAAGCCTTTTTTAAAATTTGTTAACGTTAATTTCGTCAGTGAAGAGATGGTTTGGCAGACTGGTCCAGTCTTTGACGATTTTCACAAAGAAGGAGTACTTAAAGGAGTTCACTTTAGCTATTTTAGTTTGTATTTTGTATGGGTGGTTGGTTCTAGTGTTCTCACTTCTACAAAACTCGAAATAGTCATTAAAGTCAAGGCCATTTAGACCAAACACTGTCTTGAAGCATTCCACTACAAATGGGTATTCTCTTCGATGCTAAAGCATGCTCCAGCTTAACAATATACATCGTTCTTCATATGACATTTCGCGTACTTCCTGACCGAGAGCGATTCTCGCGATCTGCACCAGCTTTCACCAATCTGCACCAAGTTGCACCAACTTCTACCATTCTCCACCAAGTAGAACCAATCTACTCCAAGTTGAACCAAATTGCCCCAACTTGCACCAAACTGCACCAATCTGCACCAAACTGCACCAAGTTGCACCAATCTTCACTAAGTTGCCCAAATTGTAATAATCTGCACCAAGGTGCACCAATCTGAACCAAACTGCACCATTCTGCACCAATTTGCACCAGCTTCTACAAATCAGAATCAAGTTGCACCATATCTGCACCAAGTTCCACCAAACTGCACCAATCTGCTCAAATCAGCATCACCATGAAAAAATCTCCACCAAGTTGCA